AAATTTCCTAATTTTAACGGAGAAATCATAATCTCCGGGAGGAAGAATTATAATCTCCGACCCCGAAAATCCCGATATACCAATTCAGAATAAAATCGGGTAAGAATTAAAAAACTCGTCCGCCATATTTGATCCGCCATCTTAAATTCACAAATTTTGTTAGAAGAATCATAATCTCCGACCCCGAAAACCTCGCCGAAAACCCTAGGATACCAATTTTGAATAGAATCGGAACATAATTACAAAACTCTTCCGCTATATTGGATCCGCCATATACGTCCGCCATCTTGAATTTCCAAATTTTGACAGGAGAATCATAATCTCTGACCCAGAAAACCACATGATACAAATTTTGAATAGAATCGGATAATAAATACAGAACTCGTCTAGCATATTGGACCTGCCATCTTGAATTTTCAAATGTTGACGACAGCATCATAATCATGTCCGACCCCAAAAACTCACACTTACCAATCTTGAATAGAATCGGATCTCAATTACAATACTCGTCCTCCACAGTGGTTCCTCCATCTTGGATTCTCGAATTTTGACGGAAGAATCATAAATCTCCGACCTCGAAAACCCTCAGATACCAACTTTGAATAGGAACGAATCATCATAATTTCAAAACTCGTTTGCGATATTGGCTCTGCCATCTCAAATTTTCGAATTTTGACGAAAGAACCATTTTTTTTGTCTGCCATATTAGTACCTTGCTCCCTAGTATCGTTGATATTTATACCAATACAGAAGATATCCGACCGAAAGCTCACATCATTGAAATAGTGAATCACTGTCGGTCCCAACAGTAAATACCTCCAAAGTGTTTTTTCAATAATAAAATTATAATCACTTCGAAGAAACAAACAAAGAATAGGTGGAGCACGGAATTTGAACTCGTGATTTTTGGCTTATCAAGAACGCACCTTACTCATTTAGACAATTGTCATACGAATTTGTGTACAAAACAGGTTTATAGAGGAATGATAGTCTCTAAACACACAATTTTTTTGTTGCCTCCTTAGGAAATATATTTGTTCAATAAAAATTATCCTTTCTGATAACATTCACTTCACCACGTTTATTTTTGCTTCGAATGTATACACATGCCCCATAGGCCACTTGAGATGCATCTGCGAAACCATGTAACTGAATGTTTATAGGCTCGTCACAAATCACAAACGATAAATTAACTTGAATTGTGTGGGGCCCTACTTCTCACACACCTTACAAAAAAGGTACTTTCTTCAATGAGTTGTACATCTGATAAAATCTTTCTATGGTCAGATTCATCAGTAGTGTTATGTTGGATAAATAAATCTCCTCATGAACTGCAACAGTTTGTTGCAAATCGAGTATCAGAAATCCAGACACACACAAATGTTAGTGATTGGCATCATGTGCGTATATACACATTGTAATCCAGCAGACCTGATATCTCGAGGCGTAAATCCAAATAAAATTGCAGAATGTCCACTTTGGTGGGCTGGACCGGAATGGTTGTGTTTTGACGAATCTGATTGGCCTAGCTCTACAATTCCTGTGCTAGAACAAATCCCTGATTTAAAGACGAATGTTAATACCTTTATTGCAAGCACGGGCAATTGGTTTCCATTTGAAAGATTTTCGAACTTTGTGAGACTGAACGAACATTTGCATGGTGCAATCGTTTCATATTCAATTGCAAAAATCCTAAAAATCCATTATCCGGAACTTTGAAAGCACAAGAGCTGTCAGACGCTACAATCTGCTTAGCAAAAATTTCACAGAAAGAGTGTTTTTTTGATGAAATCACCAGACTGTCTTCGGACAAATTAGCTAAATCCTCTAGTATTATAAGATTGAATCCGTTTCTCGATTCACAAGGTTTGATTCGGGTAGGAGGGAGATTGCGACTGTCTCAATTTCCTTATGAAAAACAACATCCTCTTTTATTAAGCGGAAAACACCCAATTTCAAAGCTTCTACTGATTCATGAACACAAAATCCTATTTCATGCTGCACCTCAGCATCTTTTGTCGTCAATTCGTGAGAAATACTGGATAACTTCCGGTAAAAATTTATCAAAGCGAGTTGTTCATGAATGCATGCGCTGCCAGAGAATGAAGCCTAATCAAATAACTCCTATCATGGGATTATTACCAAAATCTTAAGAATGTTTATGTGTAGTCTTTTCATGAAAGCCCGACAACCAAACTTACATTCACATTCATAATATTAGTAGGGATAGAAATGATGATTGTAATATATTCGTTAATGTATTAGTGAAGAATTTTATTCGCGATCAATCACTGTGAAAGACTCCACTACAAAACCTTATGTCACATCCTTTGTTCCCGTTGTTATTTTATTTACTTTCCGTTCAACATAAACAATGCCGAATGCGAACAGTTTCCCTATTGCTGAGCTTTCCCGCAATTTCCACGGATGTGTTTGCATCGAAATGGGTCATTTAGACGAGATTTCTCCCAGGAGAGAAGAGCCCTTGTCTTTCAATCGCATCTGGTTAGTTTCTGTGGAGTGAAGATGTCAGAGAAAGAAAATAATGTCAGCGAATATACCAACATAGATGGCACATCTTTTGACTATAATGGCGAATTCTAGGAATGGATGACACGAATATACAAATACCCTGATATCCGTTACCAAATGGATTGTTTATAACGAAATAGGTAGAAGTTAGAATTGCATTATAAGGACTGAAAATGAAAATTCTCAGAGATTATTATGAATATAAGAAATGGAAATATATATATGATGAAATACATATACATACTTTCACTTCATGATTGTTCCAGTGGGCTCTTGTTATACGAGTATACTACGGCCTTGCCTGAAATGCTATCTCGGAAACTAAGCGTGATAGAATTGTTGTTGTTTTCTATCAAAGAGAGACGAAGCCTATTGAAATTGAGCAGGGTCGGAAAATTCCAAGTGGGTTTTTCAAGGAGATTTTCCGAAACACACGGTTCGCTTCAAAACGACATATCTCCTGAACCAATAGACTAAATCCAAATTTGAGAAATGCACCGTATGCCTCTTTGATGACGCAACAAATTATTATAATACCAGTTTTTCGTGCATCCATCGGAAAATGGGAAAACGAATGAAAATCAAAACATCAAAATTTGAAATCCTTTCAATTCGATATATATCGAAAACAAATGGAAAAATCGAAAATTATCAGATGTGCAAAGTTATCCACTGGAACATTTCCTACAAAATTTTTCTCATAATTTTTTCTGTAAACCCAATAGTACAGGAAATAAAGTAAAAAATGTGAAAAAATAAATTTGAACGACCCATAGGGTGAAGATATATTGAAAAACAAAGATTATCGATAGATGAAGCTCATCGACTTCCACTGAACCATAAAATATTTTCTCCTTTTGTTGATTGGAAGATGGAACAAAAGTGTTGAGAATTTTATTTTCAGATAATTCCAAATATCTCGAAAACAAATGAAAATATCTGAAAATGTTATGAAACCAAAATTATTCCTTTTGATAAAATCTACAAAAAATCCGTATAACATTTTTCTCTGAATTCAATAGTTCGGGAGATACGATGAAAAAACTAAAAAATTCACAAGTTCCTAGATAATCACTTGCCAATAGAAAACGAAACAAGAAACAAAAGAAAGTAAAAAAAGCACACTCGACTGTCTTGATTTTTCTCCCATTAACTACGTACCTAGATCACTCGACTGTCTTTATTTTTCGCCAATAAAGTAGGTACCTAGCTCACTCGACTGTCTTAATTTTTTGCACATAAACTACGTACCTAGCTCACTCGACTGTCTTGATTTTTCGCCAATAAACTACGTACATAGCTCACTCGACTATCTTGATTTCCCACAAAGAAGAAATATGTTGGCATTGTTTCAACTTTCTTTTGTTTTTGTTTTTTTATTTCCTATTGGCGGTCGAGTGGGGTAGGTACGTAGTTTGTGTGGAAAAACCAAGACGTAGTTTGTGGGAAAAATCTCCAGTTCTCTGGACTTTCATAGCGTCGTATACACATCTTTGGTGCCCAATGATAGTTTCAATTTAAAAATATGCTCATGATATGGTGCCATGGCCTCTACTTCCATCTTACATGAGCAATGATAAAATATCATCTGCTTTTATAGCGTCGTATAAATCATCTGACCTCTATACTAATCTAATACCTAATGAAAACTACATCTATACTGATCAATATACCTTTCAAAAACTACGTACCTCACTTGTTAAAATGTGGTGTGGTGAAAATTTCGAAACATTTACTTAGGTAATCAAACCCTAGTCTTCATGATATTATTATTTCTTCTGGGACGGGAAAAACCACAAACCACAACCTGGAGATGAAATCTACTACTTTTTCCCTTGTATAAGAAATAACTATTCTTTAATCCATGGAAAGAACCATAGACCTATTATCCCAGGGAGACGCAACATCTCATTCATAAAACTCTGTTTGCTTTGCCTCAATGATTACATTAGGATGCCCATAAGTATGACAGAGAATACCGATCGAACCTCTTTATCACACAAGTATTTTACCACCTTATTGGCAACACTGCAATATTGTTGGTCGCAAATCTCAAAATCATCTCCACGACATTCAATAGGTGAACATTGTTATGTTGCATAAGGGGACATGTATAATGACTCATCATGAGAGATGATTTTGAGATTTATTTTTCCTTCAGATAATAACTTTATTCGCATTTGATTCGAAATTTGAGAAAAAATATATGGGTATTCTCTTCTTTTTTCGTTTAATTTTCATATTTGGTTAAAATAGGCAATAGGTATATATACTAGAATATTCCTCCTCAAGAGAAGAACTCACTTCAGGAGTTGATGTCAATAATGAAATATAGTGACCCAATTGATAATATCACAAATTATATTTCATTGATTGATTCTTTCAAATGTTTTCCCGGGAAAAATAATCCAGATGGAAATTGACGATGATATGATAGAGCAAAACACATAGAAATTGATGTTTTTCAGGTAAATCCTACACGATGCTAGGCACACCCGAAAACGCCAACACTCTTGGAATAATACCCTGTGCAATATCATGGCTGTTTAAAGGAATAAACGAACAAAAACAGAAGACTGGTGCTAGATTTTCCGTCAGAATTTCCGCAGTGGAAATTTGTGGTCCGACCAATCAGCTGAAGGATCTGCTTGCGGGATATTCAAATGGTAAGTAGAAATACTGCAAGTTTGATAGAAAACCATAATCATTTGAACTCATTCAAATCCAATCTCTTATTCTTTCAAAAAGTCAATTGAAGCAGCTCTAGCTGCACACGATGACCGATAGCAAGACTTCACTGTCACCATTAGGGATGATGAAATATCAAGAAGAAAATAAGAAGCAATTCAAGCACAACCAGATAAATCCCAAAAATTAAATGACATATTGGTCTGTTTCGAACCACAAGAAGGCAGAAATGAAAAATAAAAATGAATGGATGAATAAAATTGAAAAATGCCTGATTAAAGTGAAAGATTTGATATTAAAAATATTTATATTAAAAGAAAAACTTTTTACATCATAGAATTAGTTAACTGAAGCAAAAAAATATAAATCAATTTTGTAATCTGCAATAATTACTATGTTAATCATCAAAAAAAAATCGAAAACAGTATTTACGAGGTCAATATATATTTCAGTTACTCCATTCATTTTCTTGGTTGATGTTACAGACTGCTCTAATGGACGGCTTTTTGCCATTATCTCAAAACTTTATAAAATGGATTCATCCGGTTTTGGCTGATCGCTCCTCAGTTGTACCCGATAAATTTTCGCACCTTCCAGAATTCGAATCTTCCGTGTTGTTCTATCTGTTGTATGTTAACGTGCGACATTCGTATCAATGTTTCCTGGCACGGCCAGAGCCGACTGTGATAGATCGAACGACTAGCTGAGCTTCATCCCTCATACATCATTTCACCTTTTGTTTGTGTTTAATCTCCGTCCTGCTTGGACGTTTACGCGTGATAGGAGTGGGTATGCGAAAAGCACACAGTGTGTCGAGTCATACGTGTACTTCTATTTGTTACGACCACGTGTCAATGTCAGAGCCCCACTGCAGTGTTCTTCAATATTGGGAAAGATAACTTAGATAAGTTGTTGCTTTCACCTCAAAGGTTTTAGTTTGACCAAAAAAATGTCGATTATTATGTCGACATTTCGACTTAAATTTTGAAAATCTGACTATTATCTCGAAATTTCAACTTTTATCCCAAAATTTCGAATTTTATGTCAAAATTTCAAAGTCTCCTACAGTGTAAATAATGTCTTTGTCACTACTACTTCTTGAACACACCATTGTTTTTATGCATCACATCTCAACTAGTGTTTCCAAACTCACAAAATTCGAATCAACAGAAAAATTATGAAAGGGGAACGTGAAAAATTTGCTGAATTTCGTTAAAATTATTCAGGTACCTATATACAGGTACCTAAATATATATACTGGCATGTGTAGAATCGGATATCTGGATACCAGCATCGATTCTATGGAAAAAATCTATCGAAACGAATCTGGCCAGCTTCCTCATACAAGTAGGTGATACTTCAACGAAGAGGTATCTGGTTGACACCATTTACACGGATTTCGCCGAAGCTTTTAATAAAGTCAACCACGACATATTTCTAACGACGAATCATGGTCTCAGCAATATGCTCGTTAAACCACTGTCAGGGTATTTGAATAACAGATCACAGCTTGTTACATATCGTGGAGCCACATCTGACATATTTCTGGCGAAATCTTGTGTACCTCAAGGCTCAAACCTGGGTCCTCTGCTTTTCCTTTTATTTATCAATGATCTTCCAAGTCAACTATCCTTGAAATGCTCATTGTATGACGACTGTAAAATATTCAGGAAAATTGAAAATCGCAACGACTATGATATATAACAGAACAACCTGAATGTATTACACGCCTGGACAGTTGACAACAAGCTGCACCTCAATGTTGACATATGCAACTGTATTACTAACAGTACTATTCAACCAATAATGTTTGAACATTTAACTATCTGATAGATACCAGAAGATTAGAAAAACTCACTGACATCAAGGATTTACGAGTTACATTTCAAAATTCATTTAAGTTTGAGAAACACATGAACAATGTTTCACGCGTTGCAACCAAGTTGCTAGGTTTCCTAAAGCGGTCGACATACGAATTTAAAAATGCCAAAACCAAATATCTGCTATATTTTATACTTATACGCAGCAAATTTGAATTTGCATCTATCATCTGGAACCCAGGAAAGCAACAACTCATTGAATGTCACTAAATAAATTCATATTTTTTTTCACACTACAAAAAATATCGAAGGTGTCCTGATCGTGCATCCTATGAGCCACTCCGTATAGAAATTCAATAATCCCAAGCTAGAAATGAGGAGGGTGATTCAGAGATTGACATTTGTTTTCAAATTGATAAGTCATAATATCGAAAGTATTCTGTAATTATCCAAAAGAAACATACATGTTCCAAACCCTAATCTACGGTAATAGTTTAATTATTCTATATAAGCAAAACTCCTAATTTAATTGACAATATGTGTTCTTTGTATAAGAAGTTCTCGGAAAGATTAGTACATATTGATCTCTTCAATATGAATCTTGCTTCATTCAAAAATTCTATACGCCAACCTATGATGATGGAATTCAGAGCATAATATTCCTTAAATCGTATTTTCCAGCCTCTTCACTCATTATAAGTACACATCTATTTCTCCTTGTTTACAAATGTTTTCTTCTTACCTTTTTTTTTCTTTTTTTTTAGCTACGCATTTAGTTAGGTAGGTCTTTATATTAAGTCGAAAGATACATGTAATTAGCTTTTTATAAAACTGGTTGTAATCTTTTCAAATAAATAGTTAAATAAATAAATATAAAGGTGAACAATATTATGAGATCCGCAAATTTTGTCTAAAAAATATAAAACAAAACCAGAAAACATGCTTTTGTAGTTAACCGATCTGGAAAATAGAAAATAAATATAGTAGTTTGAACAACTTGAAGAACACAATGTTATAAATAGTCAAACTGGGAGGAACAAAATAAAATAATAAACATAAAAAACAATTCAACTACTATGTATTTATCTTTTGGGCGCAGGAAAGAAAATCCCTATAGTCTTCGGAAAACCTAATTTCATGAGTCATAAACTTGTTACAACCGCATCTCTCATTCCGGCAAGCACAATAAAAAATATCCAGCTTCAGCTTCTAGAGCATTTCGTAAGTTTCCGATTACAATAAACCACAGCTGCTCCAAGTTGACAGCCTGTTCCCCAATATGTAAGTCACCTTGTTAAACTTTCCTCCAAAACGTTGTTCTTGCTGACAATAACTCCGGAGATGCTCCTCATTCTCAAGCGTGCACCCTCTTGCTACATCTGTTACTATATCTTTTTACGACTTGATGGAATTAACATTTATTAACAGTAAGGCAAGATGAGATTTTAGAATCACTCAGGGAGGAATATTCCGTGTGAATCATTTATTATAATGTACCTTGAAGTTTCACTGGGGAGAAGTGGTGAAACCAGAATCTTAATTTCTAACGTGGGTTCGTGAAACGTTCACGGAAAAACAGAAATCGTTGAATCAAGCAATATCTACTTCAATGAAGCGAATATAAGTTTCAGATATGCACAACTAAATATAATCTCGAAATGGGTAAAACTTTATATCTTATTGTTTTATTGCGAATTTGAAATTGAAATCATGTAAATATACGTCTTGCATGAACATTGGATCTCATTCAATCAAACATATCCATGAATTGTTCCTAAAGAGATGATGTTGAATTGGTTCAAATACTCATGATGTTGTTAATAATGACGAGATATTGATTCAATCAAATATATTTCATTCATTCTATTATTTTTCGTGGAACATCTCGTTGGTGGAATGAAATATTTCGTTCAGTTAACGACATTTTCTGTTGGTTCAAGAAAAACTGTATTTCAATCTGACCAATTGTTTTGTTGAACTAAATTCAGTATTGATTTGGAAAACTGACATTTCACGTCGTTGGAAAACTAGGAAACTAGTCGACTTCTAGCATAGATCTTCAGTCTATACTACTATATTCAGCTGATGCAAGATTTTGAATTGACTTGGCCGTTTCTCCATGGAAATCCATGGCAAATGTAAAAACTTCACAAACGATAAGATTTTCACAAAATTCTCAAACACACATGTTTCGCTTACACAGTATACCTTCGTCAGGTGCTCTACGGATACAATGAACCTGTTTGAGAATTTTGTGGATCTTATCGTCTGTGGAGTTTTTACATGAGGCAAGGATATTTCGGCTTGAAGCTAAGAATTTTCAATTGATTATTCAGCTGGTATTTCAAAAACGAAGAATTAGCCTCTAAAAGGTCTTTGCAGGAACTTACCAAATATTCCTGAGACCTAAACCATTCGATACATGCAAACTTAACTCACTACAAAATTGCTTAGTTTGGGCGCTTGACAGCTCTGAAATTACAATGTTCAATTTTTTTTTTGCTTTATGACTTTGAAACAGCTCATGAGATTTCACTCAATCTTGGTACGTTGGTGGCAAAGCTCTATTGAGCGATAAAACCCATATCATGGGTATGATGAAAATCATCCCATGGGCGAGGAACTTGCTTTTTTCAGTAACTGAGCATCTGAAACTTCTACGCCAATGGAATGAAATGGGTTTCGATATGTAATTTGGATTGCTTAGCTTGTTTACTATAAAAAAGGTACCATTGACAAAATTGAAATTTCAGTAAATCAAAGCATTAGTCAACACCAAGACGATTGAGAGATATTTAATAAAAATTGTTCAAAATGTTCATAATGTCCACGTATACAAATATTTATATGACGAAAAAAATGGATACAGCACACTCACCTCTGTAAAAACTTTCTCAGTCTGGGTGCTAGACGTTTATGGCTTTCTCAGTACAAAAAAAATAGCTGATAGCACTTTTCAATTTTTTTATTCGTATACGTTCATTTTCTCCCTAACTTCTTTTTTTATGCAATTTTCGGCAGTTTGATCTAAAAATATTAAAATATCATAGTTTTTACCTAAAAATGATACTCTTGTTTAGTTTCAATAGGACATGCCATTTTCAAGATAAATCGATTTTGCTGCTAGGTACTGTTGATTCATTTGAACTACATTCTTGATTTGAACAAACTGCGCTTCTCTGAAATGATCATGTTTGATTGAACAAAAATTTGCTCAATCCAACAAGAATAATTCAAGCACAAATAATTTATTTTCGTGTTCATACTGATTTACCAACTGATATATATTCATACAGATAGGGTTCATTTTCTGTAACTACTAATTCAAGTAGTATACTGCAGGTTGTTTCCATTAATTCTATTCAAGATATCAAATAGGGTGACAGTTGACACGTACAATAATTTTCCGCAAAGTTGTATATCTTCCGCAATTCGCATGACATTTCCTTCCTGGAACTGCATTGCATTATGTTAAATTTGATATTTGTCTGATATTGAAATTTGCGGCGAGGTTCAACACCAAAGCTAATAGTAAACACAATATACAGAGGAACAGGACATATTATAATAAAAGAAATAGAGAGACAATACAATACTTGGGAGAAAAAAATTGATATCAGTAAAAATAATGGTATGTGAGAGTCATTCTGGAGTTATTACCACAAACGAAACTCAATGTGCTAATGGAACTGAATTCATCCATTAATTACAAAATCATTCGCTAGATTCACCCATTAACAGGTGGATCATTTCATTTTTACTTGAAGTAAATGAAATTGAATTAACAAAGAATCAATACAGAGTGCTTATAATAATGAATAAGTGTCATATCTTTGTCAGTGAATTATGAATGTTTCAGTCGATTATGAATGTTCCAGTCGATTATGAATGTTTCAGTCGATTATCCCCTGACCTGCTAGATCTCATAACTAAGAGATCCAGGATGAACAGAGTTGCCACAATTGACTGAAAATTCATCAGGACTGGCAACCCTGTCGCATGCTAACACGTCAATCTGGTGGAGAACTGCCTATGGAGCACATCTCAGGTTAGCCAAGGTCGGACTAAGAGGGAAAACGCACAGTGTAAGGGGCTCACCCCCCACTGAGATCGCACACCTCGCCGATCTTCCAACAGACCAAATCATTAGGAAGTTCAGTTTTGAGAAGAACTTCCGAGTGGAGCTGAGCAACAAGCGCGAATGGAGCACAGAATCCATCGAATCACTGGGAAGGAATACCATTACTTGGTATACGGACGGGTCTAAAACACCCGAGGGAACTGGAGCAGGAGTCTTTGGGCCTCGCACCAAATACTTCGAATCCATGGGACAATTCCCCAGCATTTTTCAAGCGGAAATACACGCCATAGGAAGATGCATCCAGTTCAACCTAGACAGGAAATACCGGAAGAAGGACATCGCGATTTTATCCGATAGCCAAGCAGCCATCAAAGCGTTGAGCTCTCCTTACATCAACTCGAAGATGGTATGGGAATGCCTAAGCAAATTGAATGAGCTAGGCAGCAACAATAAAGTTACCCTCCTCTGGGTGCCAGGGCATATCGGAGTGGAGGGGAATGAACAAGCAGACGCTCTGGCACGACAAGGGGCTTCAACGCCACTGATCGGACCAGAGCCATTCTGCGGCCTTGGAAATTCCTATTTCCAAGGAGAACTTGAGAAGGCGGAAGGAGCCTAGAGAGCCAGACAATGGAGAAGACTTCCAGGACTACGGCAGGCTAAAGATCTCCTTGGAAATTTCAACCGAGAAAGATCTAAGATACTGACAAACCTCAGCAAAGGAAGTCTCAAAGCAATAACGGGATTTCTAACGGGGCATTGCAGACTCAAAGAACACCTAAGGAAGCTAGGCTTACAGGAGGACGGCACCTGCAGATTCTGTGAGGAAGAACCAGAAACACCCCATCACATACTGATGGAGTGTGACGCTGTACATCACAAAAGATTGAACATACTGGGAACACACCAGCTGATACTGTGGAAGAAATACCACAGCTAGACCCCCTCAAAATCCTCAAATTCCTGAAGGAATTGAATCTCGAGGGGCTGCTATGAACAAGAAATCCTTGATATAGCAGGAGCAGATGGGGCACAATAGATCTAATTGGGTCGCAGCGCATCTGTCACCATCCAACCTACCAATACCAATACCAATACCTGCTAGATCTCATAACTAAGAGATCCAGGATGAACAGAGTTGCCACAATTGACTGAAAATTCATTAGGACTGGCAACCCTGTCGCATGCTAACACGTCAATCTGGTGGTTCCCCGATCTTTATTTCTGTTTTCTGACAAGAGCAAATGACGTATCGCGCACTCTCAATGATGCCAGTTTGTGAAGTGGTGATAAAAAGTACATTATATTGATATTATCTCTCATTTCATCATGAGTGATAAACGCACGTTCTAGCGTTTCCATTCTTAGTCAAGAAAGTTCAAGATTTCTTGTTTTCTTGAAAAGAAATCTTGGTATTGACATGAAACTCCTTGTCTCGTCTCGAAATCTAAAGTTACTTCTTGTCTTGATCTTGTCTTGAGATCAGGACAGGACAGGACAGGATGGTTCAGGAATATATGGTTGGCGTATGTTGAATTTTTTTTCTTTTTCAGAAAAGTCATCTTATGTTCATGAATGCGCTGATTAAACGTACGCATTCATGAACATAAGATGACTTTTCTGAAAAAGAAAACAAATTCAACATACGCCAACCATATAATAGAAGAAAACCATAGTTTTGATGATAATTTCGAAATACTACATGTAGATAATAAAGGAATGAAACTCAATCATTTTGAATCATTAGAAATCAACAAACTCAAAGATTCTGACATTTTACTTAATGATCAATTAGACCTCAATAGTTCACCACTGTTGAATTTGTTTCCTTGAAAGATAATAATATTTATTTGCTATCAGCAACCCAACGTTGGTTCAGTTCAAAGTACCAGTATATTACCTGACGAAGCTACTGTGTTAGAGAAACATGTTGTGTGTTTAAGAATGTTGTGGAAATCTTATCGTTTGTGAAGTTTCTACATTTTACAATAATTGTAACAACTGCTCGAAGATGCTCGAAATGTTTACCGTTCACTTTATATAGACAGAAAAACAAACGGTTTTGGAATTCATTCCGAATCCGAACGTTTCCGAGGTACCTTTTCATCTGAATGTTACATGACTTGCTCGGTTCAAGACTTAAAGAAGGGGGAAGGATTTTTTACGTCCTCAATGTATATCTTTATTACGTTACTACGTATTCGGCATTCAAAGAGCCACCGATGGTAACGGTACAGCTAGCCGCTTGTGACTAATCATTCCTTTTCCTCCTTCGCAGATTCCGAGCAATCTCCCGGCGTCTACCTCCGCGACGACCCGCTGCTGGGCAGCCAGCCACCGCCCTGCGAGTTGCGCGTGCCCTCGGCCGAAAGGGCCGCCCGCTACCTCGACGCCGCCCTCGAGGGCTCCAAGGACGCCAAGGACAAGCACCTGCTGTGCACGCTGCACGTGTACCAGTACAGCGTGGCGGGAAAGGGCGGAGGTGAGTCATTGAGGCCCGTATTCACACCCAATGGGCACACGTACGTTTTGTAAACGTTTAATCAACGTAGATCAGCTTGAATAGACGTTTATGGTTGAAGAATTCAACGTTAATATATGTTTGAAGGGAATAAAGTTGAAACTGAACGTTGAATACACGTATTGAAAACGGTATGTCCTAACGATCCATGAAATTCGTACATTTATAAAACGTTTTTCCGAAACGTTACACAAACTCTTGAAATAAACGTTTCTTCAACGCGAATCCTTCATCATTATCTAACTGATAGTGGAAAGAAAACCTGAATAAAACGTTATTTAACTACATTTTGCAGCCTTCATTTGACAACGTTTATTATACCTCGTTGTTAAACTATTTTTCAACTAATTTTTGAACTGCTAGCAGTTATATGACATGTATTCGAAACGTTTGTTAAACCCTTGGAATGATCGTTTTTTCAACGCCATTCTTTCAACAGAAATCTACTGTTGGTCAAGAAATCAACGTGTTGAAAATGTTTTTCAACTACGTTTCTCCACCGTTATTTGCCAACGTATAATAAATGTTGTTATCAAACTATTTTTCACATTTTGATAGAAGTGCTCACGGTTATGTAACGTTTTTTGATAACGTTTAATGAACCCTCAACTCTGACGTTTTCAGTAACAGAAACAACGTGATGAATACGCTTTTCAATAACGTTCCTCAACCATTACTCAGTAACGTGTTGTTATCAAACTATCTTTCTCATTTTGGTATAAGTGATCACGGTTATGTAACGTTTTTTGGTAACGTTTAATGAACTCTTAGAACTAACCCCAATGGGCACACGTACGTTTCTTCAACGTATTATCAACGTAGAACAGTAAGTTAGATAGACGTTTATGGTCGAGAAATTCAACGTTGAAATACGGTTGAAGTATTGAAGTTAAATCTAAACGTTTCATAAACTTATCGAAAACTATATGTCCTGACGATCTGTTGAAATAATGCATTTATAAAACGTTTCTCCGAACGTTATATAGCCAGACGTTCGAAATAAACATTTCTGTAACGCGAATCTGTCAACATTTTCTGACCGAGAGTGGAAGAAGAACGTGAATAAAACGTTTTTCAACAACGTTTTTTAACTGTTATTTGTGAACGTGTAATATAAGTTGTCGTTCAGGTCAGTGAGTTATAATAATAATAATTGCAATAATTATGCTAATGATAATAAATTCATTGTCGACACAAAAATAACGAAAAGTAATGTAAAACCGAAAATTCGACGACTCAAAATTGATCCGAAGTAAACGTTGAAAAATTTTATTTCATCAACTTGTTCGGATCGTCGTTTTCAACGTCAATAACACTTTGAAAACACATTTATTATCGACAATTATGAAACGTCGAAACATTACGTTCATGTCACGTTGATACTCAAATTGAAAAAACGTTCTCAAAATACGTTCATTTCTAGTAGGTGATTTGGTTGAAAGAAACGGTTTATCGTGCAACAATTTTTCGTTGAATCAACGTTTGAGAAATGCCCCTTCTAAATAACGTTCGGTTTCAAACCGCATTTAGCAACATTTTTGCAACTGTGCTCATTGAGTAGTCGCTCCTTAAGGTGACCCCGTTCCTTAAGGTGACCCCGTTCCTTAAGGCATCCTTAAGGACCAGTTTCCAATTCATAGTCGTAATATGAGCTCAAAGGTAGCCTCAAGGAAATGTCAATTCCAAGGAAGGTATAGAGGTACCTTGAGCATTCCTTGTTCCAATTTCTAGTATTATTTCAGATTGTTATGAATTCCATGAAGGAATGATGATATTGAATGTAGCAATCGAATGAATATGCAAGTCTTGAAATTTGTACAGCGAATCTGATTCGATTTTAGTTGAAAAGTATTCAGATTATTTTTTATTTCAAATCTGGTATATGTTCAGCGAATTCACGATGATATATAGTTATCATCTTGATGATTTGTTCATGAAATTGAAATACATACATTTTTGGAATTTCACCTACTCATATTATTAGAAACAAGGAGAAAGTCCAAGATAATCAAGTGAAATGAACATACATTTCCAATGAACAATCACACAAAATCACAAATTCATGTGAAGTATTCAATCAAATGGATATTTTTCCTCTCCCTGGCATATAATTCCATTGCAGCTTGAAAGAATCCGTTTTTGATATAGTAATTTTTGTATTGTAATTTTCCAACATATTTTGTCTGTGCTCGAATAAGTAATATATTGTTAGGTCCAATTTGAACCAAACTTTGTTCATTTCTCGAGTTGAAAAGCAATTACGCACTTGTGAAGTTATAGACTCGCCGCTACGCGGCATCGTGTGTAATCTTGACTCTCTCTACTTCGTGCGTAATATGCGTTTTGCAACTCTTGTTATGTAAGAAACTATTATCATTCCCTCATCTTTCATTAGTTGCTGGCGGTAGAAGCCGCCTCCACCTGTTCGACCTAGGCAACTCGGACCGCTCCAAAGCGGGCGGCGGCATCCCACTCTCCGGCCTCGGCAACGTCTTGCTCGCCATCTTCAACGGGCAGCGCCATCTGCCCTACAAGGTAAAATTATACATTTCTTGAGCTTGTTTATTGCTTCTTCGGAGTTGAGAACCAACTCCACAGAAATCGAAGCTTGTACGAGGACTCTACGCGTCTTGCTTCAAACTTCACACGCGGGATGAAATAGATACCTTTCCTCCCTTGATATATAAATAGCTATTATTTTGTGAATCATTTTGGCAGTGCAAAACAGTAAACATTTCCGCATCAAAGTGTTTTGGACAGTTGTGGAACAATTATTATCATTACAAAGAGAGAAACTCAAAGTCATTACCACAATACATAGTTCATAGAATGAACGAAAATGGTAGATAACGAGAGAAAAACAACTACTTTCCTGGTTACATGTCATGCAGAACATTGGATTACACCCTCCCGAAACCTATGCAATATAATTCGTATAGACGAATAAAATCGCGAGTGTTTCCTTCCTAAACGCCGAGCTGCGCCTAAGTGGTTCAGGAATGTGTGACTACCTACAGACCGGTTTCGAGCTGTTGGCTCTCATCAGTGCACGGCTGTCCCAGATAGCTTCTTGGCCGCTATCAGGACTCCGATTCTCAAATCCGTTGGAATTCGTTCCCATGAGAAAAACTCACTACCACTGGAACTACGGAATAATTGATAGGTACTTCAGAATCCTCATAAGTGAAGTGGGTGTGAATCTGGTGCGAACCTGACCCAACAAAAATGCATCTCACCATTTTCGTTCATTCTATGAAATATTGTGGTAATGACTTAGAGTTTCTCCCAGTTTCGACCATTGCATTCCACTTTGAGTATTCAGCTTTTTCCTAGTTGAATTATTATTATTATTATTAATCTTAAGGAGCACCGTCTCGCCCGGCTGCTGAAAGACTGCCTGGGCTCGTTAACGTGCCACGCGGCCATGATTGCGCATGTGTCGCCAGCTGCGAGCTGTTATTCGGACACCCTCACCACCGTGCAGCTGGCCTCCAGGGTGCACAGAATGAGGAGGAGGAGGGTGAAGTTTGCTGGAACGGGCGCGGGGAACGGGTCTGGAGGTAAGGAGTTCAGCATATCAGTGATTTTTTATCTATCTCTCCATCTATACCTTCATATGGCCAGCATAGCCTCGTGGTTGGAGCGTCAGTATTCTTGTTCTTGTTCGCACAAGTCTCTTGAAGAATTTTGAGGTTGCTCGTGAGGAGGCAACCGAATGAACAATTTTAGAACACTTTTAGAACACCAACAACTTCTCATTGTCACAATTATTAAAGTGCATCCCAATAAATCGTGTGCATTGCTTTCCTGCCCAGACAATATCAGACATGATATTATATCCACTCTGAACTTAAAAATCGGCAACTTAACCATTTCCTTCAAACCTTCCCAGCAAACATTTTGATATGGGGCATCAATGGCCTAATATATTTTCCCATACCTGACATCAGCGGCCCAGTGAATGGTCCCATATGCGGGACTCTATATATCAATACACTGCGGCTGGCAGCTGGTTCCAGTGCTGGGTACCCAGCAATCATATTCAGTTTCCCGACAAAAGGCCAGTACAATATAATCGACACATTGAGTTTCCCATAGCAAGCCCAGCATATACATAAATGATGGGCTTGTAATGGCCAATTAACGACATTGGTTAAATACTATAGAGGTAGGGGCTTTAGGGGTCCGATGGATCTGAAAGTTCTAGTACCTCTTTAATTCATAATATATTCCTCTCTTCATGAATCAGACACATACCAGATTTCAAAAAAATAATTTTATGAATGACACAATGATATCTTCTTAACCTCTCTGTTCTTCAACGATGAAACTTCTCGGAGTGAGTGCTTACTGGTTGGTATGTTGTATCTACATCTTATTGGGTAGCATTCCTTCAAAGTTGATTCTTCGTTGTGAGGTAGGTACTTCTGAAATATAAAATGCATCATTTGTTATATAATAGTGGCCTATAAGTTGCATGAGTTTATATCTTGATAATATAATCTGATGACGTCATAACATAACATTGAGTTATTTCTGTAGATTCACATCGCCTAAGATTGCTTTTGATAGCAACAAACTAGTTAAAAATGAAAGTTGCTTTTGGAGATGTATAGCCAACTACAATTATCATGATCATCAGGTTTATGCAGTAACGAGATACCAAACACATGCATTTAATAATGAAATTTGGAACACCATGTAGGTAGATTAATACTTACTCAATATTATCATAATTGAAGAATCCTTCTTCTAGTATTATCAATTGAGAATACTCCTCTGCCATCATAAATAACCACCAGGGAAAGAGAGGACCACATTAATTCGACATAAACAAACTAGTACGCGATCACCACTTACCAGAGTCAGCCATCTTAGTCACATATAACATCGATCAGCTGATTGTTGATGTAGCCGTTCCCAGAACATCAACCAGGGGGACGAGTAGCGAACATGAAATTGGCCAGCAAAGAGCCAGATCTCGTTAGTATTCAATTAGTTCCAGACATCTCACCATCACAAGGCAATCATATCGTATTTTTGACTGATGGTTACTTGGCATAGGTGAATCATCGGCCCATTACCAATACCCCGGCATCGTCACTTTCCCAGACTAGCCTGGACTAGGCCGGACTTCTCTCGCTAGTTCAATGTTTGCAGGGTTGCCACAGGAACTTAGGTTTGATAATGGATATGAAGTTAAATTTCACGGAACGTATCGCCCAGAAACTTTGGAATGCATATACAGGGTGGGTCACGGTAGATGGCACCTTAGACGTTTACGGAGAACGGGACATAAGATCATTCTGAAAATTTGGTTACTCAAGTAATTGCTCTTGATCTATCGATCTAAAATATTTTCAGCTCTGCGGCGTTGCCGCTTCTATCGAAAAGTAGCAACAAATTTGTTATTTTAAATGGAACACCCTGTATTTTATTGCATCTTCAGATTCTCTCTGAAGAGCTGATTTCATCGGGGTCTAGCGGGAATGATTACAGAGATATAGGGTGTGAAAAATCGACATTTTTCAACTTAAGGAATTTTTTTTGTCGAAACTATTCATTATTGTTCAAAACGGCTCACATGTCCCTATCTCAACTTTTGATTATCTATCTACTGATATTCAATTGGGACATATACCGGGTGATCAAGAATCTGAATTCTGCACCACCCTGTATTTGTTTCAATTAAATGTCAGTAGATAGTTGATCAAAAGTTGGGATAGGGACATGTGAGCCGTTTTGACCAATAATGAATAGTTTCGACAAAAAAAATCCTTAAGTTGAAAAATGTCGATTTTTCACACCCTATATCTCTGTAATCATTTCCGCTAGACCCCAAGTGTGATACATCGATGAAATCAGCTCTTTAGAGAGAATCTGAAAATGCGATAAAATACAGGGTGTTCCATTCAAAATAACAAAGTTGTTGCTACTTTTCGATAGAAGCGGGAACGCCGCAGAGCTGAAAATATTTTAGATCGATAGATCAAGAGCAAATACTTGAGTAACCAAATTTTCAGAATGATCTTATGTCCCGTTCTCCGTAAACGTCTAAGGTGCTATCGACCGTGACCCACCCTGTATAGTTCTCTCAAACTGATATACTCGCAAAGATTCTACTTGACCGCGATACCAAAAAAATGCTTTGTGATGCATTGGTGCTGTCACATTTTATCCACTGTGATGTAGTTTATGGGCCTTGTCTGAAGTCATATGATTCCACTAGAATCCAGAAAGTACAAAACTCCTGTATTAATTTATGGCATAAAGAAAAGGAACAATATCTCACTTAAATTCAAAGAACTGGGTTGGTTAAACATGTATAACAAACGTCACCTTCATATGGCATGTCTATTTCACAAAGTCCTAAAATCCGGATCCCCTCCGTACCTACACTATGAGCTCTCCTTCAGAACTGATATACACAATTTAAATATTCGTCGTCTTATAATACGGACTGTTCCTAAAGCATAAGAAAGAAAATTTCAAACGTTCCTTCAGCTACGACATGTTCACTGTACATGGATTTGGCAGACGGCCTGTATTTACGCTTTCTGATTAGTCGATGCCAAATAACAGTTATTTTTCAATAAAAGTTATTATTGAAACAAAATTAGTTTGATTTTTTCCTCCGTTCCAAACACCACATTCATTCCCAACAAATATTTTTTTGATTTCGTAGGAAGTTCAGGTGAAGAGGCAACTAGAACAACAGGAACTAGCAGCGAACCAGATCCATCTAGTAGTGATCTATCAGCAGACACAGTCATCTACGTAGGAAGAACGGACGATGCCACTGATGGCGAACATCCTCCTGTATATATTCCCAGCCTCAACTCTGGAGACAATCGTTGCTCGATGACCAAAGCCTTGAGAGGTGAGATCAACTTTAACCATATTTATGAATAAATAGGGAGGTATGTAATTACTTATGTGGTCAAACTTCATGGGGTGATTATTTGGGCGATTCTAAGACGAAAAATTCATATAATAATAGATCTGGAAATGCAGAGTTTCCAAAATACAGGGTGTCAAACTTTTGAACAATAAAAACCTTACATTTTTAACCTGACATTCCGTATCTTGGAAACTATGTTTACAGGAACTTTTCGTCTTGGAATCACTCAAAAAATCACTTCTTGAACTCTAGCCATATCCTTGAATAACACCTGTATCGTGTACATCTCTCGAAAAAAATCTACTAAGTATACCTACTCCTGCATGATTTTGAACAATCAACCCAGAGTAAAATACTCTGAATTATACAAAAAAAAAAAAAGGGTATCATGAGGTTGGGTCTTCATCATTATAAGGATTATGATCATTATACTTATTTTATGTATTACGAATCATATAAGTTACTATACCTAGTGTGTTCAAATTTGAATAGTACGTATACCTATAGTATGGTTCATTCTTTTCAAATTCCTAACACAAATGAGAGCACATTTTGTTCTTCGAGAAGTTTTCGTGACAGATTCTGTAAGTCGTTTAAAATCATATATTAGTGGATAAGAAATTCAGGAAGAAATTTTATTATCTCAGTTCATTTCAGTAGCGACATCGCACGACCAAGTTTGATGGTGTGAATAAAATCAAAACGGAATTCTACTGCTCTGTACACAAAAAGGGAACTGTAGTTCATTGATTCACCGATAGATATCGGATAGTGGTCCTTTATTTATATTACAGTAACTATTGTATAGAGGGCCCACCTGATCTTAGGTTAGATATTTGTAATTTTCATTTCATCAAATGAGGGATTCTTATAGTCAATATCCAAGATACCGACGTATGGAGTTTTATATCTGAATGTTGGATATTTATAATTGTGTTCAAAGAGAGAGAAACAGTGACAAAATGACAAAGAATGCGTGAAACTGCTGGAAGAAAACAGGACAGACAAATGCATATTTGAGCCCTGACCAATCTAAAAGTCACTTGATATTATAGGCACTCGATCTTATGTGTATGCGAATATTCAACTTACATCATATTATATAGAGAGTACTCTGATGATTACTCAACATTTCAAAAACTATTTCTATTGTATACCCACGTAGTTATCAATTCAAGTTCTTGATGAATTTTGTTATCGAATAAATATTTGATGACACTATATTTTCCACTTTAGGATCCAGTGCCGAACAAAAAACAAGCCAATCACCGAAACACCAGAAATCGGAAGAAAAAACCACACCCCACCGTGCCTCTGTCAAGTCTTCACAAAACATCAAAACATCCCCAGCGCACACTAACTCACCGAAACCATCTCCCAGCAGAATACCCTCTCTAAAATCCAAGACTGAACCAAGTAAACTCTCTTTGAACGGCTGCAGCGACGAACAATGGATAGACGGCCCAAGAATCTCCAAATCCAAAGTCGCAGAAGCCCTCCACCTCATGAAAGAAGCATGTCACGTGAAAAAATGCGAAACCTGGATAGACGGACCCATGCAACAGGAAAACCAACTCGCCTACGGCTACATGGACACTCACAAGAAAAACATGATACGGCAATGGGTGGAGCACCAAACGATCCAGATACAGAAAACCAAGCATCCGAGTCCAAGGGTCGCAGAAATAAGATCCGCGAAGGATCCTCCAAAAGAACTCACCCAGTTCAAATGTACAGATGACAAGGAAGACACCCTGAGCCCAAAGAAGCTCAAGTCCAATCAGATCGTACCAGAGGAAACAGAGAAAGAGTTGCTGGAAGAAGACATGGAGGATGATGAAGAACCTGTACTTCCTCCAGCACTTCCCTTGATCCAACCACTGAGTAGCCGAGAGGTATCCCTGGAAAGTCTCGATCAACTGCTGAAAGAAAGAATGCTTTCCAACGCCGAGTACAATAACTACCAAAAATCTTCATTCGAAGAAGAACTAGATGATGATGAAGTGCTGGAAATCATAGAGGTAGAAGAACCTTTGGAACCCGTGCCGACTCAAGACTCCTGTTTACAAGTCACAGAAGAAGACATCGCCTTTTGCATGGGCTACACCGAAAACCCATTGCCAGAAGTCGACCAAGAGAACCCACTGGATCATCCCCTGAGGATACTCAGCCAAGAAAACCTCACCGTGGTCTCAACTTTCACTGACTCCATGTCTGTTTTCAATGACCTGGAAAGACTTTTGCCTAGGTACCAAGCTGACCAGCGCAGTTTTTACCACGACTACGAAGATCCTGATAATCCTTACTCAAACAATGGTAACCCGGATGAGGCTTCCTTGAAGAAGCTGAACCAGCTTACGAGGCTGCACGAGCTCTACACTGATAGGCTCGCCCAAGCCAACCTTTTGAGCTCAGAAACATATCGGAAACAAAAACAAGAAAAAACCTTGACCAGATGCGAATCCTTAACCCTTACAGACATGCTGTATGGGGAGAAAAGAGGCATGAATGATGATAGCAGCATCTACAGCGAGCCAGCTTACCTGCAAGAGAAGTTCTGCGAGAACTGCAAAGTGAATATGTCGAGACCCAGCTGTCAAGACACTTACTTGTTTAGCAGTACCAGGAACTTGAGAGAGAGGAGCTCTCATGAGCTGAGCAGTAGGTTCCAGAGATACAACCACAAGTACAGGTAACAAAAATGTTCTGTTGTACCAACAGAATTATTTTGAAGATTTATTTTTTGTCAAATCGAAAACAGTTTCGCGAAACTAACAGAATGTTTATTTATTTCAAATACGCGACTAATTCAAAAAGACGAAATATTAAGATTGAAATATCTGCTTCATTGAGTGAACTTTTATTTGATTCAATACAATTCATATTTGACATGAGAACATTTTTGTTGATCCAACAATCATTTCATTGTTCCATCAATCTTATGCATTTTGTCTTTTTGACAAAATTGAATCGTTTATGACAAAGATTTGAGGAAGGAACATCCCATTTTGTTGAAAACCATTTCATTGTTCAATCAATCATATGAATTTTTTCATTCCAAGAAATATGTTGTTATTTCAAGAAGATTATTTTGCTGAACAGAACCAAAAAATACATTTTATCGAACAGATATTTTTTGATCGAATATTCGCAATTGCATTTTGGCCACAAGATGGCATTTGTTTCTAGCTTCTTACGCTCGCCTTGATAGAAGTGTATATTTTTTTATCTCTTGGAGCGCACGGCAGGAAATTCCTCTAATGTTCGAAGGACATCGTGCTTTTCTAGGACGGTTAGGGAGTGGAGGTAGGTATTGGAATTGTTTTCGAAATTTTGGAGGCTATTATTTCAACGGCGGATTAGCGCAGTGGTTGAGGTGCTAGACTAGTAATCAGAACATCGAAAAGTTGCTAGGTTCAAATCAATGGCAGATAAGAAAATTTTCATTTTAAAAACGAGTAATATATACTGATTTTCATAGTCTCGGATTATAAATATAGTTATGTTGATCAAATAATATTTGATATTCGATGAAAGAATATGTTCTTCAATTTAAAATTTATTTTGTTGATTCAACATAATATTCTCTTCCTCAAGAACTGAAAATGCTTTGACGGGAATGAAACTACATGATCATTTCAATCCACAAATTGTATTCATTGAAGCAGATATTATATTATATCGGAACAAAGTAGTCTTTGTTCATCCAACAAATCTTCGCTCTTGATTTGAATCAATTATAAGTTGTATTGAATGAATTTTGAGTCGTGTATGACACCGAGATTCTGTTCAATTTACGAAATGTTTGTTGATTTAAACATTTATTTCTCCAAACGACATTGAAAGTGGTGTACTTTTATCGCCTATTCAGAAAAAGTTTGTTGCTATAAAACGTTCCAAGTAATTTGAATCAAAATGGTATAATCAAAATTTACACAATGACATTGGGTGAACAGAAAAGGATAAATTATTTGGACTTTGCTGCGTGAAATAAGGAATTTGGATTAAAAATTATATGTCTCACATAACAGAAAGAAGTTTAAATGCCTTGGCTAGTTTCCTAGCCTCGGCTACGCCTTGGTTATAAAACGCCAGTCGCAGCATTGAATCTTGCTTTTTTCTACCTAGTAAAACAGATTAATATTCACAAATAGAGAGAAACTCAAAGTCATTACCACAATATTAGTTCATGAAATGAACGAAAATGGTAGATAACGAGAGAAAAACTACTACTTTCCTGGCTATATGCCAACTATTGTGGTAATCTTTGAGTTTCTCTCTATTTGTAACCATTGCATTCCACTTGAGTATTTGGCTTTTTCCTAGTTGGAAATAATTATTTTCCTTCGTGGCAGGGACAACTTGGAGTACCTCCGCCACCCTGACGGAGCTTCCAACCCCAATCTGCGGGACGAAGCAGCCGGCAGACTCCCTGGAAACGGTGCCTCTTCCACTGAAGTCCTCCCAGAATCCATCACTTCCCAGCCGTTGCCACCCCCCAACAGTCTTCCCTCCGTGGAGAGAATCTCCAGGGCGATTCTCAGCTTGGAGACGGGGGTGACGGCTGTCAAACTAGGGCAAAAGTCTGAGGGGTATGATAGTGGGCATGATTCCACCCCCAGGACTTCCAAGCATAGTCCTGCTGCTATTTCCAGGAGGGCTGAAAGCGGGTACGACAGCATAGTGAGGGACAGCGAGAGTTCTAGCATTGATTCTGAGCCTAGCAGGTTGTCCCATTGTCAGGGCAGAAGGGGAAAGTGCAAGCACAAGCACGACAAGTCTTTTTGCTCTTGGTTTCTGAATCCTTTTACGTGCAAGTATATTGATGAGCCTCCGGAGACTCATTTCTAGAAGTTGAGTTTATAATTTTGAGGTAGTTCAAATTCTAAAAGAATCGATGATGTATCTTGTATGTATGTATGTATGTATGTGTGTGGGCGGTCCGGGACCTGACGCACTTAGGCCTCCCTTTTCGGGCCCATTGTACACCCACATTCCTGGGATCGCAAGTCAGCCATGGAGAAGGCCGATCTCGCGAGCAAAAGAGACCAACTTCCTTCGATGATGTATCTTTCTACTGTGAAAAACTGATTTATGTTTCTATTGATTCGATTTTGGCCGTTGAAAGAATGAACTTATTGAAGTACCTATAATATCTCGTGCCTCTTTTTTGTTCGGTGAATCTTGTATTGTCTCATTCGTTGAACCATTGTAGAACTTTATTCTCTCTTACTCTACTACACGAATAATTATTATGACCTTGCACCCAGGCAACCATATGACGAATGATCACGTCACTGTGACGTCCCTAATTGGTGATTTTTCGTCAGAGATGTCACACACCAATTCATGACGTCACTATGGCGTACTTTTTATGACGTGATATTCACGTCATCATCACGACGTCAAGTGAACGTCACTTAGAAGGGAAGAAATGAGACGTCAGTTTCATGATGTTGCAGGGACGTCCGGTCGCCGTCCATGTTTCCCAGATAGATCATGTGAAACCGTTAGGTTTGTGACGTACCTATATATACAGGATGGGCATTTTCAGTGTCGAAAAGGTTCCAGAGAAAATAGTTTTTTCATTAATTTTTCACACATGTACAAGGTTTTTTTGAAATAAGTGCATATATTCAGCACATTGATATAATTCTGTCTAAGGAATATTCCTATGATATCAGATTTTTTCTAATTCTTCTAATTAACGAGAAATTTCATCCCCGAAATTGAACAAAATACGAGAAAAAAATCAAGTACGCCACTTTAAAACAATTCAAATGATTGAACTCCGCGTGATTGTGCCTACTGTATGGAAATTTGAACAGAGGTGACGTCAGATTTGCTACAGTGTAGAACATTGGATGGGAAAAGGGGTCTTACCTCAAATTTTATTTTGATCCCTGGATTTTTTTGATCAGTGCCATTCGATAGTACATGTGGAACTTTCTCTGTGTTTGAGATATTTGCACCTATTTCAATTCCACCCTGTATAGTAACATGTACGTCTCGGAAATCATATGCTTCTAACGTCGATAGAAGTATAACTTATCAAAACGAATCAACATGCAAGTTTACTTGGAATTATATATACACTTTTTTAAACTTTGACACCCTGTATATCTCGGAAACCAATCAAGCTATATATGTACATATGCATATAGGTGTACCTATATTAAAACCGTCACTTTTATGACGTTGCAGTGACGTATCTATGACGTTTGAAAATCACGACGGTGTGACGTACCAACCTGGTGAGCTTCCTCATTAAGAAAAATTTTCAATAATTTGCTATTTCGATTGAGTGACAAATAATGCATGAATATACGATACAAAACAAAGTGGAGCTAAATTCGCCAATAAATCAACATGCAAGTTTTATTGGAATTATATATACACTTTTTTAAACTTTGGCACCCTGTATATCTCGGAAACCAATCAAGCTATATATGTACATATGCATATAGGTGTACCTATATTAAAACCGTCACTTTTATGACGTTGCAGTGACGTATCTATGACGTTTGAAAATCACGACGGTGTGACGTACCAATCTGGTGAGCTTCCTCATTCAGAAAAATGTTCAATAATTTGCTATTCCGATTGAGTGACAAATAATGCATGAATATACGATACAAAACAAAGTGGAGCTGAATTCGCCAACATCCTTTTCATTACTATCAAACTATTCTTGGTTTGCTTACATCTCGCTAACACAAACTACATAAGCTTTGATACTAATTCGAATAACTGATTTCATTCTGATGAAGCTGTGAACTGAGGGATAGCGCTGCTGAATAGATGATTGAATGGACATGACAACGCAGGGACCACCAAGCAGACTCAACATTGCATAATCATCAATAATATATGTCATCAGAGGTCAGAGGTGATTATCACACCATGTTCGAGGAAACTTTTTCACGTGTCATCACCAAATTTTAACGTCGTTTTGACGTCATTCCGACGTCACAGATTGGTAAGTGAATGCCGTCAATAAACGTGAGTAATATGACGTCATCGGGCTTTGACTTATTCACGTCATTTATCACGTCATACTACGTCAACTCCTGACGTCACCTTGGTCATTCAACTGACGTAAAAAGACGTCACTGAAACGTCATCTGGTTGCCTGGGTAGCGACAGAATTCGTCATCGAATCCGTTACAGAATCCGTCACGCTTTTGTCAAACCGTCAAAAATACCACAAAAACTGAATGGATGAACACAATTTGAATCTTGTGAGCTGACTCCTTGTACAGTGTGTCCAGTTTTCAATGCTTTTGCCTGATATCTCAGTTATCTTTGGAGATAGAACCTTGCGGTTTTCGCGGTCCTGTCCCACATGGTCTAATCAGATTTTGCAAGACTGTTTCCGTTTATGAGATACAGGGCGATTTTGAAAATTTATACATTTTGGACCCCCTCTATATCCACGAAGTTTCTCAACAAAAATGTCAAATCAAAATCTTATCGCATAGAGAATTTCACGTATAATTCAGTGGCGCACTTAAATTTTTTTTTCGGGGTATGGTTTTGGAGATACGACTCAAACTTATGATTTTTTAAATGGAACACCCTGTATTTCATAAGCTCATTAAATTCCTCATATTTTTTTGTCTTCAAAATGAAACATAAAGAATGAATAGAAAATTTTCAAAATTGCTCAAAATCACTAAAATATTGAATTTTGATAGTTGGTTATGGATTTTTCTTCGTTCCAATTGAAGAAATAATTCTTCAAATTTTTCTATGGAGAGGTCAAAACCAATATCAACACTTATTGATTAACAAAACACTATACTTGGGTACCTGATAGCAACAAAGAATAGTAATAAAAAGTTCATAATGTAGAATAAGCACCTGATTAAATATTTACTAAAATAATTGAATTCCGGAATTATTCAGTAACTTATTCATTGACATGTTCATGTTCATCCATTTTCCCTAACATACAGTTGACAAACTTTCTTAATACTTCTCAATACACCCAGACAGCACTGGATATTCATAGAATATTCTCTAAATATGCTAAAAAGGAGGGGTATATTCCGAATATTCATCGATTATTCCTAGAATATGCCTCTGGAACATCTAAAAGGAATATTCCAAAGTGAATAGTCGTACATGTTCAGGGAATATTCAGGTATATCCCCAACTGAATATTCTCTGTTGTATATTCATGAAATATACCCAACTGAATATTCTGTGCGGTATATTCATGAAATATTCTCAACTGAATATTCTGTGCGGTATATTCATGAAATATTCTCAACTGAATATTCTGTGGTGTATATTCATGAAATATTCCATGAATATTCATAAAACATAAATACCAATTATTATTTCAGAGATGTGAGTATCGAACATCAATTAGATGTAAGGGGATTTTGAAACAAAAAGTGTTTATGATCCGATTTGAACTTGATATGTATAACATTATTCAATTCGATTACTGCGGCCTAGTGGTCAAGGCGTTGCTCTGATAGTCTTGAGGTCACGAGTTCGATCCCTAGATGGGTCACTTTTTTTTATTTTAGAATATGTTTATTGGAATATTCCAGGAACATTCAACATAGAATATTCTTTTGGGTATATTCTATGATTATCTGAGGAATTCCCATTCGCATATTTAGAGAATATTTCACAGATATTCCGGAATATTCCAGATTATTTCTAGAATATTCCAATATTCCAAAAGGAATATGATAGGGAGATTCATGGAATATCTGGTGCTGTCTGGGAATATACCTATTTCACTTCGACTTTATATATAAAAGCGAATATATAAATTAAAGAGTGTGTGCATGGAAATATTCGTTCAAATAGCTTCGAAAACTTCCTTCAACTTCACCCTGTTTATTGATAGGTATTTCTGGATATATATATCTACTACGAGTGCGGTTAAGCGATGATCGATGTGCAGTGAGTGGCCCAACATACTTGAAGAACTTCGTGCAACAACAGAGGCAGTTTTCCAGGAATTACAAAGACATCTTTCAATGATCGATATGTATTGAGAAAGTTTGTGATGGAAAATGGACATCAATTTGAACAATTCAATGAATAAATCACTGAATAATTTCGAAATTCAATTGTTTTAGTAAATATTCAATCAGGTGCTTATTCTACATTATAAACTTTTTATTACTATATATTTGTGGATATCAGGTATCTAAGTCTTGTGTATTGCAAGTTAATTAGTGTTGAAATTGTTATTTCCCCCTTCATGGAACAATCAAAGGAAATATTCCTTCAATTGTCTTTATATGAAAATCCCTCGAAAAACCCATAGCCCACTATTAAAATTCAATGTCTTAGTGATTTTTGAACATTTTTGAAAATGTTATATTCATACATAATATATCATTTCGAAGGGAAAAAATAAGGACATCAATGAGCTCATGAAATACAGGGTGTTCTATTTAAAAATCATAAGTTTTAGTCGTATCTTCAACACCACACCCCAAAACAAAAAATTTTCTGCGACACTGAATTCTGCATAAAATTCTCTATGGGTTAAGATTTAAATTTGACATTTTCGCTGATAAACTTCGTAAATATAGAGGGGGTCCAAAAAGTATAAAATTTCAAAATCGCCCTGTATCTCATAAACGGAAACGGTCCTGCAAAATCTGATTAGGCCATATTGAGTTTCACAAAAAAATGGCACAGGATCGCGAAAACCGCAAGGTTCTATCTCCAAAGATAGGTAACTGAGATATCATGCAAAAGCATCGAAAACTGGACACACTGTACACATGTATTTCAGACATGTTGATGTTACTTATTCTTGGCATATTGATTGCAAAAAATACTGCATTTCGGAAGAAAGAATTTTAGAAATGAGTCGAAGAATGAGACACACTCTATATTATCATCCATTGAACATTTTCCTAGCCCAAGTGATGCATGAAATAAGTTTGTTCTTCATGGAGATTTAGTCTACTCATTATGATTCTAGCTTGATTTTCTATTTTTCTATCATCGTTCTCAGGAAAGTTGACCTTTTCCCTGTACTTACCACTGACTGCTCTACTATTTTTTATATCTAACGTGAATTAAGAAGGCTGTTCGACCGAATTTTTAGATAAAAATATTACATGTAAAAAGTTGTCCATCTATTGAAGCAAATCGATTCCGTACACACCCAAAAAGTGACAGTATTGTATTTTTGCATTTTTATCTATCTGCACTAAATAAACATCGAATATGTATTACTCACTTAGGAAATAAGTGATCTTTCAGTGCGCCTAAATTAGCAACCTATCAGTATGACTCGTATACGTTGAATTGTGTCAAATATTCTCATAAAAATATGGTATTGTACGATTTTGATCATCAGGATAATTTTTACATTGTGCATATCATTGACATTCATGTGAGGGATCAAAATTTATATATCTTGCCAACTTTTCTACCCATCAAGCTTATCGATCTCCAATGTGCTTTTTTGAGCATTAATAAATATCTTTTGATATTTGTCTATTATTAGATATTACTGTCGAAATATTGTTTTATAGATTTGTCTGTTATATGGATCTGAAGAGAACAATTTTAATTTGATGAATACTCACTTATATTTTGAACCGTGAATTGTTCTTGATATTCCTTTGAAGATTTGAAATGAATTAAGTATTTTGTTACAAGTTTGCAAGTTGAAAACTTGGGATTTCCTATGATTAGAGAGATATGCCATTCTCCGTGGCAGTTAGTTGAAACTTTCGATACAACATTCAAATCTATCTATTGGGACAATTAATTTTATTTGTGATAGAAGTATCTCATACTCTTCAGAGTGAGTGCGAATTTAGCCGATATACAGGGTGTTTCAAAAAAACCTGACCCCCTTGATAGGGTAGGTAGAACACTGCAAAATAAGTTGGATTTGTTTAGAAAAAAATGTCGTAACGGCATCCGTTTTCAAGATACAAGGTGTTGAAAACATGATTTTTTTACTTATTTTTGAAGGTTACGTCGAAACTACTGGCAACATTGTGATGAAATTTCGTATGGATGTTTTTTGGAACCTGACACATCGCATGAATTTGTTTTTATATCTGGCTCTCATAAAGGGCGCTAATTTCACGGTTCGTACCGACATGTAACTATTAGTTTTAAACATAACTTTTTTGAGGTTAATAGTGAGAAATAGCTGTAATAGCTGTAGCTCGTATAAAATGAATTTTTTCTGCAACCGACACAAAAGTCGTCCATTTTGATACCAAAATCAGCTCTCAAATTGACGTTTCTATTACTGACACAAAAATAGGTATGTTGCTAGGCAACATATTTAGTTCCTAGGAGCTAAAGTTGAATTTTAGTTCCTAGGCGCTAAAGTTGAACTTTAGCTCCTAGGAACTAAAAAGGATGTACTGGACGTCATCAAGAATATACAACATTGTGACGGTTGGTTATTTGAGTTGAGACGCATACCTGATTTGTTTCTGATTTCAGCAGATTAGGCATTCCATACCCATGCTGGAGATATGAATACACTTTATTATAGTTTAGTATTGGAATTATAAACATCTCAGTTAAGTATTTTTGTTTTGATCAGAGAAGCCTTCAAGATTCAAATACTTGCTTGATCTGTATTTCATTCGTTATTCTCGGGATGGATAACTTGTTTTTGAATAATCACGGCAAGCAATAGTTTTTTTTTGTCTCAAACAACGATATTGTTTAGCTTCATTTGATTATCGAGTCAAACACAGTGTAGTATGGAGAGGAATAAATAATCACTATCATCATTGTTGATATGTTGATATGCTCACTAACCTAACATTTTGCACGACTTGTTCATATAGCTGGCAGTGGCGCGGTATTTGCCATTAGAGCACCTGGTCCATACACATAATTATATGTCACTCTGTGGTTGTATTCATCTTGAAACTACAAATCGAACATCCTTGAAAACCTAACCTGCTGTTAATGCAGGTAGAATATTCTCACCACACTGATTATTTGTCAATATTTGTTGCACTGCATACATATGGCACGGCATTGGTGGTTACTTCACATGTTTATTTAAGTTAATTGTTTCGGTTGCAGAAAAAATAGCATGTTTCATTCGGATCAAAAGTGACTTTGTTCGACTCGCAAATTTTGCTTTCGCTCGGTTTCGCTTAACGCTTCGCCTCGCAAATGCAAAATTCGCTTGTCAATCAAACAAAGTGTCACTTTTGATCCTAATAAAACAATCTACTTTTATTGAGATCAATTACTTGTTTATTCAGATTCAAAAACGATAACATCATTCTTATGCTGTGTTTATTGATTGAACAAAGAATCACAAGTAGAAAATTGAGAAATATTTGACTAGAAACATAAAATATTGAATCAGTTAGAGTAAGTATTCAAAATGTCCTCCGTTTCCACGAATACACGATTCGATATTTTTTTATGAAAGCATTATTTTTCAAAACGGTTGAGGATCAGCTGTAAGGTCATCTAAGTGATGTTCAATTCTGACTTGCAACTCCAGACGTGAATTTACCTCTGTAGCATACACTTTTTGCTTGATACAACATCTATATGTTTTTAGTAAAATTTGTTTCAATATTATTCTTGTGAATCATTGTTGAATCAATAAGTTTAGCATTAGAAATGTATTGTTTTCCTCGGTTTGCAATAAATAGGTGATGATTTTTTATAATACTCACTCTAATACATAGCTTTATACCAGCAACAGTTATCACTTCAAATCGGAATATTTCGACAACGGAACACAGTATCGAGTTTCACCAAATTGAATGATGTTCAAGTTCTCATCAAATTCTGATTAAAAAATCTAACCTCAAAAAAGTTATGTTCAATAATACTAGGTACGAACCGTGTAACTAGCGCCATCTATGAGAGTCAGATAGGAAAAACAGATTCATGCCATGTGTCAGATTCCAAAAAACATCTATACAAAATTCCATTACAATGTTGCCAGTATCTTCGACATAGTCGTAAAAAATGTGTGAAAAAATCATTTTTTCAACACCTTGTATCTTGGAAACGGATGCCGTCACGACATTTATTTACTGAGCAAATCCAACTCATTTTGCAGTGTTCTACCCACCCTAGCAAGGGGGTCAGTTTTTTTTTGAAACATCTTGTATAACAATGACCATCTTGGAGTTCACCTTATACTCGGTTTGAATTTTTCAGCTCCATTGAATCTGAAAAATCCAATATCTGGCACTATGAATATCATTACAGTTCAAGTGTAGACTCCAATTTCACTGAAAACAATAAATTCAGATATTTCTAGTTGTTATATGGAATCTAGAAACTTGGAAGGTTGAATCGAATTCATTATATAAAGGAACTCGATTCTGAAGAGTACATTAACTATTATTGATATCATGTTTTTGTATATGACTGTAAATTTGTGTATTTATTTTATATTGTTATTACTCAACTGATTTTATTTGTATTTGATATGATCGTTAGAGAATATTGCAGTTGTATTTAGATTATGAATAAAAATGAAAATGATGATAAATCAACTTTCATTGTTCATTCATCATTATATTTATTTCACAAGCTCTCTTTTGGGAAAATCAATGCAAAAATGATAGGTGAGTACATGGAAGCAAATAATTCTCAATACTTTATTCAAAAACATATAAATGTCTATGATTTGTACATTATTTTTTGATTCTCTATGAGAAGTATGGCATTCGGTATATTCAAATATTTGAAATTTAGTTGAACTTACATAACTAAGGTACATGTAAGTACTTTATTCTTTTCGTCCTACAAAATATTAATTTGTATATTCATATACATTTCGCATAATTTTACTTCATTCACGTACGTGTTCTTTGGCACATTCTTATTCAACATTCGTGAGAATAACCACAAGCAATTCACAGTCACAATTTGATCATTTAAGTATAGAAATAAGTATTTTAAAAAAGTATCTCTAATAGTCACTTATTATTTTATCAAAAATCTCTGAGTGTTGGTGGAAAAATCATAAGGTAGGCAAATTCCAAAAAACTTTTTGATAAGAGTTTGACTAGGAGATCTAAGCAGAATAACAAAATAAAAAATAAAATGGAATGTGATGAACTTATACGACGAATCATTACTATAGTATCAAGTCTTCTTTTATATCTTACATTTCTTCCATCATCAGGGGAACCTCCTCATTCTGGTGGAAATATACAATATGCCCTTCTGATGAAAACAAACATTATATAAAAACCCATCAAATATAGGCTGAACGAAGGTGGCGAGAATTCATACGTAAATGTAAAAACTTCACAAACGATGATATTCATAGAAAATTCTCAATATCACGACATGTTCCTCTAACACAGTAGTTTCATCAGGTGGAATACTGGTACAATGAATTAAATAAACCTTGGCTTGCCTTATTTTATATATATCCTACTTTCCCAACTTGAAGGATTATAATATGAAGTAACGGATTAACTTAGAATGATGGATAGGAAACACATATTATAACCTACTAAGAAAACAAATTCAACAATGGTGAACTATTGTGGTCTAGTTGATCGTCAAGTAAAATGTTAGAATTTTTGAGTTTGTTGATTTCTAATGATTCAAAATGTTTTTTTCCTTTATTTTCTACGTGTGAAATTTCGAACTTATCATCAAAACTATGGTTTTCTTTTAATAGTTATATGGTTAGCGTATGTTGAAATTGTTTTCTTTTTCAAAAAATTCATCTCATATTCTTGAATGCGCTGATTAAACGTTCGACCTGTCTGACAGATAGATACCATAGGGCAAGATCCACACTTGAGTTTGTATACCCCTGATTTTTCGAATTCAGAAGTTTTATCTCTATTTTATTTATTTATTTTGTCTTCATTATTTTCGATAAACCTTTCCAACGTATTCCCAACACGTTGCGAAGGTTCATAAAAAATAATGAAAATAATAAAGAAAAATCTTCTAGATCCGAAAAATCAGGGATATACAAACTCAACTTTGGATCTTGCCCACGTCAACCATTTATTGAAAAAAAACCCATAGTTTTGATGATTATTTCGAAATTCTACACGTAGAAAACCCTATCATTGTGGATCAGTAGAAATCAACAAACTAAAAAAAATTTACATTTTACTTAACGATCAACTAGACCTTGATAGATCACCACTGTTGAAATTGTTTTCTCAGTAGGTGATGATATATATTTATATATATATATATATATATATGTATTTACTATCAACTCTTTGAAGTTAAACCATTACACCGTATTTTAATCTAGATATATTATTGTTTATTGAAAAACTAGCTTCCAGTCAGAAATAAAATTCTGGTATGAGGAAGTTGATTACAAACAACAATAATAAAATAATATAAGGTGACAACAACAACAATAAAAATCTAAAAAATCTAAAAATGCTAAATCGATCAAGTCATAAAAATAGCCACAGGGACTAATCAGTAGATGGCAAAGTATCAATTATATCCATTTCGTGATGAAATCATGTGTTTTTTTAATTTTATTGTGCCTATTTTCCGAAAATGACGGTTTATCGAACCTTTCCACATATCCTCCAGGTTGGGAAAGTCGGATATATGAAAGTTGAGCAAGCCAACGTTAGTTTATCTTATTGTACCAGTATATTCACCTCATGAAGCTATTGTGTTAGCGAAACATGTCATGTATTAAGAATTATTTTTATTTATTTTTTTATCACATATATATCTCCCAGTCAGAACAAGTTCTGGTATGAGGAAGAACATAATTATAAAATAATAAGTAAAAAATAATATCTATGAACTACTACACAAACATGAGCAGAAGTTAACATGAATAATAAATCAGGATATCACAATAAATCACAGTAACACAAAACGATCAATGAACATACAGAAGCATTCTAGTCAATGACATAACTTACAGATAAATTTCAAATATTTCTCTCCGAAATGATCAGTTTTTTCATTCTCTTTTTAGATGTAGGTACCTTTATTTCTGCAGTTTTCAATTTCATCTGGTAGTTTATTGAACTCAAATAAGGCTGCATGAGTGAATCCATTTTGTCCGAGTGTAGAACTAGCAGCATCAAGGTGAAATGAGTTATATTGGAAATCTCATCGTTTGTAAAGTTTTTTCATTTGCTATAGATTTCCATCAAGTAATGGCCAAGTCATATCAAAAAATTCTCTTTTCGATATGCTGTAATCATTGTTATCACTGTAGAAAAGGCCATGAATAATTGATTCTAATTAAACTTTATTTCTGCTAGCAAATAAAATTTTTTGAGTGAGAACTACATAAAGCAATGGAATGTTTACATTAACAGGATAAAGTCATCGATATTCGAGCCAAATACGACAAACGCAAATCGTGAATCTAAGTATATTTCTCAACCCATTGTAAAATCCAATTTCAGATGTCTATCTTGAAAATTGCAATAACCTCAGTGATGTGCAGCAAGAGAGGGCAATCAAGCAAATGAGCTTAAAGTTCGTGGACCAATTTTTAGATATCATTAGCAGTCATTCCAGGTGTTAACTATAATTAGGTGACCAAACCACACAATCAATTATTCATGGACTGTCGGTAACAACTTTTGTTTCTGCGAATGGATGAACAACTACTGATACCTGTTCATTTTCTTCTCTTCAAGAGCCAACACTGTAATGGTAAAAGTATACACTTCTTACTTTAGGTAAAGTAGGTTTTGAATCCTTCCCGTGATTATCTCTTCACACTCACACCGCATTAACACTTTCCCAATCCCTGATATCACCGTTCACATAGTTGTGTTCCACGACCTTATCCTTTTTCTCATCCACGTTAGCTTTATCTCTCAACATGCTCTTGTTCTGCGGCATATTCACGTAATTATCAGCACTTTTCACTATTTCCCCGCTTGATGCCGTCTTCTCCTGCGTTATGGAGGGAGGCAGCTGGTAACTGGGGTTGGACACCCCATTGGGGTTGGGCGACTGATTAGGAGTGGCAAGGGGTGTCTCGCTGTCGGACTCGCTGAGGACGTGCAGCATTGGGAGCAGCTCGTGTCCAGTGCCGCCTTCGGATGAGAGGGGTTTCCTGTTCGGGATGTTGAAGTCGAATATCTCACCTGGAATCGATAAGAATGATGTCAACAACTTGGCCTTCAGTACAGGTGTTTTCCCAACAATCTTAAAAAAAGCTGTCATAGTACCGATACATAAATCTGGCAACAAAAAAATATTATCCAACTACAGACCAATAGCTTTGATCAGCAATATTGACAAAATAGTTGAGAAATGTGAAGAACAAAGACTCAATGAGTATTTTAACAAACATAAACTATTATCACAAAATCAATTTGGATTCATGAAAATCACCTGTACGGAAGACGCAATCTGCAGGGTGACATACTTTGTCACCAAGTGCTTTGAGCAAGGTAGAAGGTGCCTAGGCATCTTTTTGGACCTTGCCAAAGCCTTTGATACTGTGTCACACCAAACTCTATTGGGAGAATTAGAGAAGAATGAAATCAGAGGATTCACAAACGACCTATTTAAATCATATCTAACAGGTCGTACACAAAAGGTTAGAATTGGAAATACTATGAGCAACTGAGTTTATTGGTGTGCCATAAGGGACTGTTTTATGCCCCATTTTGTTTTCCATATATGTAAATAGTCTGACCACATTATTAAATGATGGTGACATATGGTCTGCTATGCGGACGATACCGTCATTTTGATCAGGGAAGATTCATATGGGACATAACTTATAAAAATGCGGAACTGGCTATGGCAAAATAAGTTAGAGACTGGTTGGAGACATACCTTCTCACCTCAAATACTGAATTAAAAAACCCACTTCATCTGTTTTTGAATGAATAAAAGAATTTTTTTTCGGTCGATTCTTAGGTGCTAAAATCATCAATAATGCCACGGTAATTTTCAGACGGCTAGAAATTTCTCGCCAGTAAAAACTGACGCCACCATTTTGTAAGTAGGGGTGAAATATACGATTTGGAACTTCGAAAATATTAATTATTCAATAAATCATGAATATGGTAATATTCCTGATGATTAGCAATAAGAATTGAATTGTCTCAAAATGTTCCCTCATGTTTTTTTGACATTGTTTATAATAGATTAATGTGAATAATAATGATATTAATTCACACTAGATGACATTTGAATCGGTGAATATGACAAACCATCGCACGAATTGTAAGCGTGGTCTTGTCAGTTCTCAGTATTCAGCACAATGTTGCCAAGTCTCCAACATTTACATGATATTTTGTGATGAAGAATGAAACATATTTGGACATGCTGGTTGCTCGAAAAAGTCAAGAATGAACTATAATGTCTTGGGTTCCTCCTATTATGTTGTATGTATGCATGTATGTATGTGTGTGGGCGGTCCGGGACCTGATGACGCACTTAGGCCTTCCTTTTCGGGCCCATTGTGCACCCACATTCCTGGGATCGCAAGTCAGCCATGGAGAAGGCCGATCTCACGAGCAAAAGAGACCAACTTTCTGGGCCAGATCTTTTTAACATCCTCTGGGTCCCTTGCTGCCACTATTGCCGGGCATTCAGTAAGGATGTGAGTAGAAGTCTCCTCATCCTCTAGGCACCATCTGCATTCAGGATCCTCCACAATCCCGATCATGCTGAGATGTTTGTTCAGGTGGCAGTGCCCTGTCAGAAGGCCCACCACCAGTTTCAGCTCCTTCCTGTTCAAAGCCAAGAGGGCAGACAGCACCAGATATTCCATGAATCTCCCTATCATATTCCTTTAGGAATATTGGAATATTCTAGGAATAATCTGGAATATTCCGGAATATCTGTGGAATATTCTCTAAATATGCGAATGGGAATTCCTCAGATAATCATAGAATATACCCAAAAGAATATTCTATGTTGAATGTTCCTGGAATATTCCAATAAACATATTTTAAAATAAAAAAAAGTGACCCAAGTAGGGATCGAACTCGTGACCTCAAGACTATCAGAGCAACGCCTTGACCACTAGGCCAGTAATCGAATTGAATAATGTTATACATATCAAGTTCTTGTGAGAGCATTGTTCGAAATCGGATCATAAACACTTTTTGTTTCACAATCCCCTTACATCTAATTGATGTTCAATACTCACATCTCTGAAATAATAAATGGTATTTATGTGTTGAGAAACATAGGAATATTCATGGAATATTTCATGAATATACACCACAGAATATTCAATTGAGAATATTTCATGAATATACCGCACAGAATATTCAGTTGGGTATATTTCATGAATATACCCCACAGAATATTCAGTTGGGTATATTTCATGAATATACAACAGAGAATATTCAGTTGGGAATATTCCTGGAAGATTCATACCTGAATATTCCCTGAACATGTCCGACTATTCACTTTGGAATATTTCTTTTAGATGTTCCAGAGGCATGTATATATTCTAGGAATAATCGATGAATATTCGGAATATACTCCTCCTTTTCAGCATATTTAGAGAATATTCTATGAATATCCAGTGCTGTCTGGGTGTCTTCGTGACGGGTTTCCTATATGGAGTTTGGACTGCCTCATTCGAGGAGCCTTTCTCCAGCTGTCCTGAAACCTTTCCGTCAGGATGTCCTTCATCTTGCTCCAGGATCGAGTGACCCCTAAGATGAAAAAATAACTACTCAAAGAAAACTGTTACCTGCCAAGAATGTCATCTCCAACCAGAATAACCCATATGAAAGGGCGGTCGATCTGTTGACGAATTTCAGAAACCATTTTTCAGCATTATATAGTGTTCCGTAAACTTACTAGTTGAGTGAATTTTACATTTACGGAACCTAATTACACTTACCAGGTTAACCAAAGTGATATACGGTACATGAAGACCACTGGGGAAAAATGGGAATGTCACAATATAGTGGAAATTGACTTGACATGGCCATCTGATAGCCAATAAACCACTATATTTCAGTATAAACAGAAATCCATAGCAATAACGTAGCATAGTCAGCTGATATGCTCGTTCGAAAATACGTTCACATGAAAAAAAAGCGGTCAGGTAGTGCTTGCTTGAATACAGATTCCATTGTGATTACAACTTGTTTTCACACTGTCAGAATGTAAAAGTGAATTCTGCGGCAAACAAAAGATGAGAAAAAAAGAGATACGGCCACCTTTTATCACTTCTTTGAGCGTACGAAAAGGAATCCCTATAATGTTCGGGGAGCATCGTCGGTACTTAGGGAGAATGGGGAGAGGAGGTTGGTATTGGGATTAAAAATTCCAAAGCTTTGTCGTACTATGTATAAACGAGTTTTGGTAAAGAGTTGTTCGACATATTTCGTGGTTGACGACACCAAGGTGTGCTGACTGGGCTTGTCGAGTAAGTCTGAGTGATGGGAATGAAATAATGAGCAGATTGCTACATGATGATTCCTACTCATATTGCGCGCAATTCATAGAAAATGATCAAATTATAGAGATGCCATATGTACTATACGACAACTTACCGCTCATTAGGTAGTCAGACAAAAATGGGGAAATATACCAGAGCAGATAATTGCGAGTGAACAATCCAGTTTCTTGACAATTTATCTGGACATTCCCAATTTTTCTCTTATATCTTTGGACTTATTTTTTGTTTTCGATGATTTTTCGATTCAAATATGATTTTTATTTCGAGTTGTTCAACTTTATAGCTCATTATACTTCATCAAATGGATCCAGGTGGTTCGATGTTAGTTTCCTCCAACTTGCGAAAAGTAAGGAGACTTCAAATTTTGAAATGCGTTTTTTTCGAAACTTACTTCTTGTGACATTCCCCCTTTTTCTTCTGTGATCTTCACATATCCTCAATGACCACCTTGTATAAGTCATCGGAATGCACTCACCTTCTGTGACTCTGGGACTGAATATTCCCCCGGGGTTCATGCTCATGTATCCATCATCAGACGAATCGTGTAGTTGGTGTGGACTGGACAGAGCCTCAAATGTTGGGGGGCTAACCATGGCAAGATAATCGCTTTTGCCATCCTCGATCAGCTTCGTGTTCATGGCCAAATAGGGGTCGTTCAGATCGATATAATACTGAAACAATATCATAGTTATTATTTGTCAAAACACGTGTCGAGGCGATCGAAAATACTGGCTCTATATGCATATTATTCAATTATGTAAATAGTAGTATACCAACCCAGCGAGCACGAAGATCCCTGGGATGTTTTGAAAATGTTGGCATGAAGATGTTTTTTTTAGACGTAATATATGCACTTCCCAAAGAGGTCTTCAAAGAATATTTTAGTATTGTTTTTGTTCTTCTGTGGAATTTCTTTGTTCGCCTACTGAGAGGTATCCCTGGGATGTTTCAAGAATTTAGGCATCATGACGTTTTTTGGAGACGTAATATGCACTTCCCAAAGAGATCTTCATAGGATATCGAAAGTATTGTTTTCTTGTTATGTGCTATTTCTTTGTTTGTCCCATTACAACTTCTCATGCTTGAATTTCGACCTGGTTTTGATTTCGTTGTTTTTGTTCGCATTCGTATTTGCAGCTGCTCAACGCTTGCGCTTTAGCAAATGCAAGATGTGTTGTTCGGTGTCTCAGTGTAATCAATATAAAAGTACAAATGTAGAGATGCAGAATTATGCAGTGTGGCAGAACATTAAAAAAAATTGGGAAACATATTTCTAAATATATGTCTGTGTGTAGCAAGCACTACTCAGAAACCGATTATGAAGGTGATTTCATATATCAAGAAAACATTCTGATGTTCAATCAGCTATTTTAATGCATTTCTTCTTTCGAGGGAAATAGAATCCCAATGCAGACGTTTATTTTAACAAAAGGCTTCAGAAAAGTACCTCAAAAATGGTTTATATACAGCGATTAAATGGGCGCAAGACGCTTTGAAAATGTTTTGTTGTGTCCAAGAGAAGGCTATAAAAAAACTAGGGAGAAGGTATTTTTGTGACATCCCAAGAACACATTCGTAAACGCCAACTGCGGCGGACATTGGCTGTTCTATAAAAGTTCTGTTCATGTGTGAACAGAACATTGCAGTGGGGGTTCAATATCTTGAAATCTCGTACTTTTAACATCTCTGAGATGTTTCTGTGCTCGCTGGGAAGGGGCTCGCTATTCTTAGTCCATTCTTAGTTCAAATAATCTACCACAATGATATGGAATAAAATGAAGTTTTTGTTATCAAACTTACTTTCATCCAGCAATAATAATGAAAGAACATCAACACTACACAAAAAAACATTTTTTTTACGTTAACTATGGATTTTCATCAGGTAACGGTCGATTAAATAAATGAAGAAACAACAGAACATGATGAATAAGTTCTCAGTTTCAGATATAATTCATGATATAAAGCAGGTTAGATACCTTTTTTATTGTATCCTCCAGTAAATTTCCCAAGCGCTCGGTCAACTTTGAGAAGGAAGGCCTTTCCAAAGGCTGGGATTTCCAACAATCAGTCATCAGGTCATAGCTGAGAAGGTAAAAATGGATTACTAAAAATTGGCCTGTTCCAGTAAAAATTATATTTCTTCATTTTGAAGTACATGTCCAAACTTGTTCACAGTCGCAATATCAGCAAACACGTTATTCATCACGGCAGTTTCGCGAAGTCCCAGATTGCAAATGGAAATATGTTTTCATTTTGATAACGCATATTTGTTCTGAACGTGGTTACTTTGAGACTTTGCTTTGTTAACAAAAAATCTAAGATGCAGTGATAATTATTTCAGGATAATAATAAACAACCACGATGTCATCACCACAAAATGTGTTGAATTTCTAGTTGAAAAGATCGTCATCGAGAAACATCGCGACGAAGTCTATTCGATTAAGTCACCATATCAGTAGGAATAGAATGGAGAAGTCTCGCGAGAATCCTCGCATGAATGTGCCTAATGTGATTATTAATAAGACATTTATTGTCCAAAAACCTTCCACAGTGACTATAAGGATATATATGTTTTATTTGGGCTATTTTTCCAAATCTCAATTTGAACAACGCAATTAATGGAATGCGTACTTGATGCCGTGGACATTTCGCTGCAAATAAGAGCGGGAGGAGATGTTTTTCGTACATCACACGCGGATTTTAGTTGCAAAATAACTTCCATATTACTTTACACTTACTGCCCAATGTTTGCTGTTAATAAATCTATGCAATAATCCATATAGATGAAAAAAATCGCAAGTGTTTCCTTTCTTCCGGTGGATGTTATCCAATGTTCTTTGTGGCATAAAGCCAGAGAAGTAAACTGGGCGTCAATTGAAACGTTAATAGTGAAATTTGGCATCAAGTTTGACTTCTCGTAATTTCTAAAATATTGAACCAATTTTCAATTGCCGCCCAGATTCTGAATGCCTTTTTCATCGTCTTTCGAACCGTCCCTTACAGCTTCTTCTAAATTGATCAGGACCCGTGATACAGGGTGAAACAAAGTTTCGTGCATTTTGAAAAAAAATTCTCCGCCCCTCCATTTTGTCGGAAGACCACGGTGCTCATATTTTATTCGGGCATTTCATAAATAGCAACCATACCTCGGGACATTTTCGAGTTTTTGCCAAAAACTACTGTGGTTTCCGAAAAAAAAAATGTTTTTTGTATTTTTTTAAATGGACTAATTCTAGAGGAGTTCCATAAATGGATGCTTTTATGCATTTCAGGAAAGCGTTGGAGCAGATATGTTTACCAGGTTACTCAAAAACAATCAATAATTTATTAATTCGCAGTCTATGATAAAAGTTGTCTACCTTAGTGAGCAGTAAATCAACACGTCTCATCAACAAAAACAAACAACGATACCTTGTTTCTATAACAACGTATTGTTGAAACAATGTAGGTATGCATAGAGGTTATATCAATTGCCAATTTTCATGAAAACGTCAGTGTAATTCGGGTCACGAAAAATTTAAAGATGCCTCGTTCAAATCGGGTCGAAATGGAAAATATCATTTGGTAAGATCATTATAGTGATAAAAACTATAATAATAATTATTATTTCAGGTTACGACGATCAGGATATACCCAAACTCTTTAAGTACCATTTTCAATAAGTCAGTCATGACAATAAATAGACTGATTCATCGTTTTGAAGATACAGGTAATCAGGCCATTTGAAAAAATGCAAAAAACATTTTTTTTTCGGAAACCACAGTAGTTTTTGGCAAAAACTCGAAAATATCCCGAGGTATGGTTGCTATTCATGAAATGCCTGAATAAAATATGAGCATCGTGGTATTCCGACAAAATGGGGGGGCGGAGAAATTCTTTTCAAAATGCACGAAACTTTGTTTCACCCTGTATCACGGGTCCTGATCAATTCAGAAGAAGTTGTAAGGAACGGTTCGAAAGACGATGAAAAAGGCACTCAGAATCTGGGCGGCAATTCAAAATTTGTTCAATATTTTAGAAATTACGAGAAGTCAAACTTGATGCCAAATTTCACTATTAACGTTTCAATTAACGCCCAGTTTAGTTGTTTTTCTCTCGTTATCTATCATTTCCGTTAATTTCATGAACTATTGTGGTAGTGACTTTGAGTTTCTCTCTCTTTGTGACCATTGCATTCCACTTTGAGTAAGTAAGTAAGTAAGTATAAGTTTATTCAATTAGATTTTAACAATAATTTTTGATGAGAGAAGCCACCTAAGCTAAGCTTGTATTGTGGGCCTTTCTTTCTCTCATCATACATTTTTATGTTGAATTACTAACAAAAAAAAAAGAAATATCTACTAGCAGATTAAAATGAATTACAATCAATCATTCCTATGAGTGTTTGGCTTGTTCCTTGTTGAAAATACGCCAGTCCGACAACCAGCCACTCTCATTCCACCCGAAATGAGATCTTGTTTTGGAGTGTATCTTTCCTTGCCAGGTGGTGTTCGTAGTTAGCGTTCATTTCGCGGACGTTAAACGAGATGCCTTTACGTTGGGACAGGTTCACATCCGATAGCGGTCAAGAATGCTATCTGGGACAGCCCCGCACTGATGAGAGCCAACAGCTCGAAACCAGTCTGCAGGTAAACACGCGTTCCTGAACCACTTAGGCGCAGCTCGGCGTTTAGGAAGGAAACACGATTTTATTCGTCTAGACGAATTATTGCGTAGATTTCGGCTGGATGCAATGTTCTGCGTGGCATATTGCCAGGAAAGTATTTGTTCTCTCTCGTTATCTACCATTTTCGTTCATTTTTTGAACTATTGTGGTTATGACTTTGAGTTTCTCTCTCTTTGTGACCATTACATTCCACATTGAGTGTTTGGCTTTTTTCTATTCGAACATAATTTCTGTCGAGGCGATCGTCAGTTTCCTTTTATATAAACTACTTATCAGATGAAGTGGGACAGCCAAAAAATTGACTAATTTTGATAAGCTATAACTCGAACATTTCTTGACCGATGTTGAATTTCCAACCAGAGGTAGAAAGCGTCATCCTTGGGCTATGCGTCATTGGCGCCGGCTTTTTATTTCTGCGATTCGTTCTCTTTGTACAGAGTGTGAATTAAGAGCCGGAAAAATTTCAGATTTTTGACCAATAATTTGGGAAATGTGAGGGACCCTAGAATTCTTTTTCAGATGTTGGGTGAATGGTTGATCCGATACCTCGAGACGTCTTTGAAATTTTCTTGATAAATTGCGATGCTATGGAAAAAGTGCCATTTTATGAAATTCCATTTTTATTTTGAAATGTGGCATCTTTTAGTGAAACAATAACAGCCAACATCTGAACTGCAACAAGGGATATTTTCACTCAAGATAATCAACACCAGTGGCGAGCAAAAAGGGGTTCATGATATTTAGAAACGAAAAATTCGTTCTCATTGAAAGAATTCAACAGTTTCATTGATCGTTACAGTTGAAGAGGTGTCATACCCTTAATTACCATAATGTTGACAAATTAGAGAAATAAAAATAGAATTTAACGAAAGTACCTACTTCTGCTTACTGACACTACCAGTAGGCCCATACATGGCCAGGGTTATTTTTTTTTATTTTCTTCACTTATTCAAGATGAGCATCCATGTAATTCATTGACGAATGAAATGACGAGTAAAAAATGTCTTGATCGTGGGCATTTTTGATGAAATTTTTTTGGGGGTCCGAGTAGTAAAAATAAAAAATTCAAAAAAAAAATGCTTCATCAGAAAGAGAATGAGAAAATTAATGGAGAAAAAATACTAACATTTTTTGGGGGGCAAAAACTGAAGATTTTTTGAATTTTTTTTTAACAAGATTATCAATTTGTACGGCTCGAGAAACATCAGAAGCCATCAGAGTTACGTTCCTGAAATTTCATTCATTGATAATGATACAAGAAAATTTTCACTGGGCGAACAAAGAACAACACTTGATAAAATTACTAAAAATGTATTCACATCAAACTTTTTGAATCGCCTTGAATGTTGGTTCCTCTTTGATACGCCAACGGGTTACTTGGATGCTCACCTTGAATAAGTAAAAATCAACGATAATGAGACTGGAATTTTAATTTGTCCACATTACAGAATCACCTTTTGCACGCCTCTGAATTTGTCAACATCATTCTAATTAAATGTATGTCAACTTTTTTACTGTAACGATCAATGAATCTGTTGTTTTTTTCAAATAAAAGGTTTTTTTCGTTTCTAAATATCATAAGCCCTTTTTTGCACGCCACTGGTGTTAATTATCTTCAGTAGAAATATCTCTCGTTCAAGTTGAAATGTTTGCTGTTATTGTTCAACAAAAAGAGGCCACATTTCAAAATAAAAACGAAATTTCATGAAATGGCGATTTTTCCATAGCAACGCAATTTATCAAAGAAATTTCGAAAATGTCCCGAGATATCGGGTCAACCATTCACCCAACATCTGGAAAAAAATTCTAGGGTCCCTCACATTTCCCAAATTATTGGTCAAAAATTTGAAATTCTGCCGGCTCTTAATACACACTCTGTACAAAGAGAACGAATCGCAAAAATAAAAAGCCGACGCCAATGACGCATAGCCCAAGGATGACGCTTTCTACCTTTGGTTAGAAATCCAACATCGGCCAAGAAATGTTCGAATTATAGCTTATCAAAATTAGTCAATATTTTGGCTGTCCCACTTCATCTGGTAAGTAGTTTAGTTGAACTTTAAAATACAATTTTCTCCAAAAATCATCGATTAACTCACATTTCTTTTGGAGCATACTCCGGAGCCTCCATCCTGTAACCATCTACCAGCTTGTGATAGAGCCTCTCGTCTGCCTCCATTCCAGGGTATGGAGTCCTTGCTAGGGAAAACAATTCCCAGAGGACGATACCGAAGGACCAAGCGTCCGACTGGGTAGAGAAAATCCTGTCTCTGATAGATTCGATGGCCATCCACTTCACTGGTAGAGGGCACTGCAGAATAAACAGACGATCGAATGGGAAACCTTTTTTAACAATATCCCAGAAAGAAATTGGACATTCTATAACGTATAATCAATTAGTTTCTTCATGAAATGCAATTTACCTACTACCAATATCAAATCGAATTCCAGTTTTTTACTCGAAGAAAGAAATGAGAAATGATTGATCATAAATAAAGAAATAATTTTAATATTGATCTACAAACATAATTTTCATCTAACTTTCGTGATCGGAATTCATTTCAATGATTTTTAATGCTACTAGCATGCAGAAAAGTCCACATTTTTGAACTCATTTCAGTGTTGTCACTTTCCCGCACTATTTGAATTTGAATTTGTTATTGTCAATATTATTATTGATCATTCTTGTATTCTCTTGTAGCGCATGAAAGGAAATTCCTATAATGTTCGTGGGTTTTTTCAGCACGCTAGTAGCAAAAATAGTGTACCTAACACGTATGTAGAAAAGTGACTTTTCCGCACGCACACTTTCCATATTGCACGAGTACGTCCTCAAAACGTACTGAGAACGTTTGGGCAAGACGTTTCGTACGTGCTGGGGACGTCCAGATTCCGCGCGTTTGTACATTGTCAGTACGTCCATTCAGGACCATGGATACATGAATCAACGAACGTAGATCCGCCCCTTTTCATTCAGATAGTCAAAAAAGAAATTTAGATAAAGTAGAAAGTCTTATTTTGAATGAAAAAAATTAAAAAACAAAACGCTTCTACAGGGATCGATCCCACGACATCGATACTTTTATAGAATTAGATAATCACGACAGACAATACCTAAATAGATGTTTTGTGATCTGGAGGGGCCAGTAAATAATGAATTTATTGTGAGCATTGAATTATGTTTATGTTTGCAAGGTTCCTATATATGAATAGATTTCAGAGATCGAAGGTAGAAATTATATATGCAATGATTCCGATTATCATTTAACAAAATGTATCCAATCCCTTAAACAAAAAGTCGATAATGTCCAGAGTTGGACGTACCCAGTACATCGGAATCGTACGTACCCAGTACGTCCAGAAATGGACGTTTTCAGTACGTCTTGATATGGTCCCGGACGTTCAGACCTAAATGGGACCTAAACTGAATGTCTTCAGGACGTCGAGTACTATATGGGTTTCCGCACTTGTCAGGTTAACTATTATTTTTTACTCGCGTGCGGAATAGTCCACTTTTCTCCACTCATTTTAGAGTTGAATGAGTCGCACTAGTGCAACAGATACAGGGTGATCATAATTCTGAATCTTGAACCTCCCTGTACTTATTTCAATACATTTTTTAGTAGATAGCTAATTAATAGTAATGACAACGGCATGAAAGTAATTTTTACCGATAATGAATAGTTTAGAGTCGAATAAAATCTCGATTTCGAACACCCTTTAACTGTCATCATTCTCGCTAGACCCTGAGTGTGATACATTGATGAAAAAAAATACAGGGTGTTCTATTTGAAATGCCAAAGTTTCTACTACTTTCTGGTATAAGCGCCAACGCAGCATTGCTAAACATATTTCTGGTCGATAGACCAAGAGCAACTACTTGAGTAACAACATTTTCAGGATAATCCTATGTCCCGTTCTCCATAAACTTCTAAGGTACCATCTACCGTACATGACCCCCTCCCCTGTATAAGCATTTCTTTTTTTTTGTGATGGCGTAATTATGACGATATAAAGAGCTTATATATCCCGGTCAGAAATAAGATAATTATAGTTTTTGGTAGTAGGTGGAATATTATTGTACTATAAATTTGAATTGTAATCAATAGGTCATGAGACTCGGAATTTTGGCATCGTTTGAAAAATGTCCCATCTCATAGAAATATTGAAAATGATGAAGAATTCAAGTTGAAAATGAATTCGATTGTAGCATTACTTGATACTTACGTCACTCCGCTTTTTGTAATTGTCATTTTTGTACATGGTCTTGGCCAAACCAAAATCGCATATCTTGACAATATTGTCATCTGATAACAGAATATTTCTGGCAGCTAAATCACCATGCAGGACCTAAAAAAAATGAAGACAATAAGATTCGGAATTTACCAGTAGGTATGTAGTGACTTTTAGTTATGACTATACCATTTTAATCTCGAAGCATTGCTTATAAACAAATAGACAATAGACTACAAAGAAAAAATGGATATATCACAATAGTTGGGATTGATGAAAGGTGGAGAAGTTATATTGTATTCATTTTATGTTTCAAGAACTAGATTGGATAACAGATTCAAGTACAGATTATTGAGTAGTTCGGAAAACATCTACTCCTCACCTTTCTAGAAGACAGATAATCCATTCCTCTTGCCACTTGGAAAGACCAAGCAACGAGATCTTTGGTACTGATTGGTTTGACATTGCCCCTATAGTCCCCTTTGTAATTTGACCTCCATTCTGGTTGAATACTGTTGTTACTCAAAACAATCTCGTTACCTTAAAAAACATTGATTCAAAATGAAATTATTAGAATTAGGTGAAAACTGACTTTGAGAAACAGCGGTCATATCAGTGGTATCAGATCCTCCGCTATTCTGTTTGGCTCGATAATCACCCATACTAGAAGAAGGAGGCAATATGGGACCATTGCCTTTGTTGGAAAAAGCAAGAGCAGCATATTTGAGAAGTGGTGATTGGATCTCACTGTAAAGATCAGAGAAATTCTCAAGAAGTTTACTTTTGCATGTCTGAATGGTAAGATCGGAATTCAATAAAAAAATAATATTTACTATTGACTTCTTAACAATTCTAGCGGGTGGAATGATTGAATGGAATATGAATGGAATGTTATCAGTTTACTTCTACTAATTACCTTCTGTTACTAGATACTGAATAAGTCCGATCCAGAATATCTTGACCAAGGCTGTAGTTCAGTTTGCCATTTTTCGGATCCACCTGGTGAACGAAATTGTCTCTGTGTCGCAGCAAATAATTTTGCAAGTTACCATATCGACAATACTCCACAATAACCAACAGTTCCTCTGAAAAAAAAAAACGATTGTGCGATTAGAGAAAAAAATGTGATAGAAAATTCTATTTTAGACAAGGAAACTTCTTCAACCCATGCGGTTAAAATATTTCAGAATGACTAAAATTGTTCTCAATATCTGGTACACGAAATATAGTCAGCCAGTCATATGATGACTCCACGGCTTCTTTTAATATTTTTCATAATGTTATTTCCACATGGCCTTATATAGGTATGTGGTTCCTTTGTAAATCAGATATTTTTATAGGTACTGTGTACTTGTCTTGCCTGAAAATGGCAGTTTAAGCTGAAACTATACTCACATTACATTATATAATATAATTTTCGTGGTCGAACAACTTGGTGTATTTCTATGTATTTCTTTTATAATAATTTTTAATGCGATTTGAATTGTACGCTGAAATTTCATTCGGATTTTTCCAGTAGTTATCAACAAATAATTATTATGCATGACTAGTGGTAGATTTTGAGCATTCAATGTTCATCGAGTTATGGAACTTTCTCACACGTACTTTTCACAACATTTTTCGTGCAAGCTCCCAGAAGATTCACAACATTCAAATGCTGTCCCAAATGGACCATAATCTTCAGTTCGGATGCCAGAGCTTTGATGTAGATGTGGTCGGCATTCTTCTTCACCATTTTCACTGCAACAGTGGTCAGGGGTTCACCGTCCACGATGTGTTTGGCTTCTCCCTTCATGACAACACCGAAAGCACCAGACCCCAACTGCTTACCTTGAGAAAAATAATACGAATTTGACTATACACTTTCAGGGGTTATCTCAGTTTATTTTCGATGTCCTCAGCATAACCGACTCTGAAGAAAGCCGTGCGTAGAAGTATGGGCAACACTGTCCGAAAGGTACCATATACGGCCTGTGAATTCAACGGAGTGAATTTGCTTAGTTTCCAAGTGGAATTGATGTGTTATCATTGTAAAATATGTTGAAAAACCGTAACCGTTGAAAAGCGTAACGAATATTCTAGTTATCGACTCATGAGTAGAAGGATGTTTGTGTGTGTGTGATAATGCACAAAATAGTAGTTTACCTAACAAGTGCGGAAAGTGACACTTTTTCGCACGCGATTGCAGATGGCCGAACGACGCGTTGGCGAAGGGTGTATCTAAATAACACCAGTAACAGTAGTGAATAATGTTCATAATTATTAACATGTGTACTATCTTGCATCGTTTTCGAGATACAGGGTATTAATATTTCCATGAAAAATACTTTTTCTATTCATTTCTCAATTGTTTTTCATCAATTTGTAATATGGATCTTTTTTTAATGCAATTAGATTCGAAATAATATTTCCAGTGGCGTCACAGTGGGTAAATTTATCGATATTCATGGTGAATGTCTGATGAAAACTTCACCTGTGGCCTAACCAATTATTTCTTGCTATTTTTTGCATATATATATAGGAAATGTTTAAACAGTTTCTAAATTTGTTACCTATAATCCAGTAGCATAGTCGGATTTTTGGAATAAACTGTCATTATCTAGATATAATCCGAAGGTATATTTTATTGAATTGAACAGTATGTATTTTTTTTTCTGAATTCGAAACACTGATGCTTTACGATTATCCAAAATAGATAACAGTCATACACTTTATATTTTCCATATCAGAGATTCTTGCATTTACCTTGATGCTGACACACTAATTCGTCACACACTATCCTTCTGAAGTTCAAATTACGACTTATCAATTTCAAATTGGTAAACAAATTCAGAATGGGAATGAACACTATCAAATTGGGAATTATCATTTTCAAATTCAGAATGAACAGTTTCAAATTGGGAATTAACATATTCAAGTTGATGAACACAATCAAAATAAGAATGAACTCTTCCAATTTGGGACTAAACAACTCCAAATTGGAAAATTAATCGTCAATATTGTGTCAAAATCGATATTAATCATCAGCAATGAATTCCCACTTGATATTTGAATTGATATGACATTCATGAAAAAAGATGCAGATATTATAAGAAATCAGATTTGTGGGGTGTTCAAAAATACTGGTGATTGAAGGAGAGTGACGGATACAACATTCGGCATACAAAAAATGGCGTATGAGTAAATCAGGACGAAATAGATAAACAACGGGAAGAAGAAAGAAGGACCAAAATTACTCAAGAACATCACACAATTGTACAGAATCCAATAAATATAAATAATTGCCAATATATATTTACAAAAAGATTCATTCTAGATCATGGACATACGTCCATGTTCTAGATACTCTGAAATCAATTGATATAGCTATTTGAGGTTTTTTTTTAAATTAAATATTTGTTCATTGAAAATAAGTGAGAATACGAATTCGAGTATGTTTTTATGGAATTTTGTGTTTTGTTACTTCAACAGATTCAATCAATTCCATATTGTTCAGTGATTAATACCAATTTAAATTTGTTTAGTTCGAATCTAAATTTGTTAAATGCGTGCCGAATCATTTTTCCCAATTTGAATTTGTTGGTTTCCATTTTGAAAGTGATTAGTCTCAATTTGAATTTGTTTATTTCCAATTTGAATGTGTTAAATCCATGCTGGACAGTCTGTCCCAATTTGAAGATGAATATTCCCATTTTGAATTAGTCTCAATTTGAAGTTGGAATGGTATATTTTCAATTTCACCAACATTGAATATATTTTCCAATATTTAGCATTATTCATTGACTATAAAAGCTGGGGACCTAATTAGTCACCATCATAATCAAAGATATCAAAACTATGAAATTTAGAAACCACATATCCCAACCTGATTCAATTTTTCGTGAGATGATTATTCGCAATTGTATGGAATATTTGTACATTCGACAGGTAGATGACAAGAATTGAACATATTCTGCAGTAGCTTACTAATTTGCATAGCCACCTACTAATTAGGTCCACGACAGCTTCCATAGTCAATAAAATCGAGTGCTGAATAATGGTGAAACTGTTGAATGATGGTAAAATTGAATGTAGTGTGTGAAAAAACACTGTTTCAGCACTCAGCAACAAGGTGCCAATCAATAAGAAATCTACTGAAGAACTAGAAATTATCTGAATACAAGGCCATCAATCAAAATATCATGAATATGTTCTTCTGGAGAGCGCAAAGCATCAATGTTCTCAATATGGAAAAATATACAGGGTCTTCAATTAAACAAAAATCGAATTTTGGGTTATAAGGTATCTCAATAATAATAGCTTATTTTAAAAATCCGACGACGCCATTTGATTCCTCGAAAAAAAAATGTATGAGAGACGACTCCCTTTTCCAATAAGCTAAAAGATGGCTGAGATACAGGGGGAAAGGTCCCAATATACAGGGTGTTATTTAAGTACGTGGCCAAACTTGAAGGGGTGATTTTTTGAGTGATTCTAAGACGAAAAGTTTATATAAACATAGGTCTGGTAATGCTTCGTTTTCAAGATACAGGGTGTCAAAATTTTTAAAATAAATCGTTTTTTTCGTAAATATCTTAATAACCCTTCAACCGATTTCATTGAAATTTGGCAGTGTTATTCAAGGTCGTAAAGGGCTAATTTAACCCTAACTATATCAAAATTATCATGTCCAGTGGCGTCCCGGAAGGCACTGTAAAAAATGTGCGCCACTGATTTTTTTGCAATTTTTGTATTTGTTTCACATTGAGCAACTAAAATAACAACTTTTTTATATCTAGAATTTTTTCGTATCTTGCTTTGTTTTTGAGAAAAAACATAAAAATCACTTCATTGCACATCCCTGTGACAACACAATAAAACATTTCAACTACTAAACCATCAAAAACTGGGGTCTTACTAATATTTTTTTATATTAATACTCTATTCTAGTCTTGGAATTTTCTATCAAAATAACTGCAATGAAAAAACAAAAAATATGTATGCATGAATTGCAGCACTTGCCTTCGGCTCTTGGCTTCGGCTCGTCACAGGGATGTGCAATGAAGTGATTTTTATGTTTTTTCTCAAAAACAAAGCAAGATACGAAAAAAAATCTAGATATAAAAAAGTTGTAATTTTAGTTGCTCAATGTGAAACAGATACAAAAATTGCAAAAAAATCAGTGGCGCACATTTTTTCTGTCAAAAATATTGGTTACAGTGCCTTCCGGGACGCCACTGGACATGATAATTTCGATATAGTTAGGGTTAAATTAGCACTTTACGACCTCGAATAACACTACCAAATTTCAATGAAATCGGTTGAAGGGTTATTAAGATATTTACGAAAAAAACGATTTCTTTTAAAAATTTTGACACCCTGTATCTTGAAAACGAAGCATTACCGGACCTAAGTTTGTATGAACTTTTCGTCTTAGAATCACAAAGAATCACCCCTTCAAGTTTGGCCACGTACTTAAATAACACCCTGTATAGTGTAATACTTTAGTTTCGCCCTGTATTCCGAAAACGAAGCGAGCAATTAAAATGTTTGCAGTATCATGAATTCCACAGAAAAGTGGCTAACGTTTGCGGAAACCGCAAAACTCTATACAGGGAGTGTCAAAATTGCTGGGACACAGAGCTACCACGTGAAGAGGAGGTCAAAATAAGTCGATTGGACCCCATTTTTTTATGTGCCAAAATGTACCGTTTGTTCGTGAGAAGGGTTCAAAGTTTACATGAAAAAACACATTTTTGTACGCTGTTCAGAAATAAGTGAAACGAACTTGATGAAATTTGGCAATAGTGTATTTCAGAGGATTACTATTCTTTGGGTAATCGAAGAAACCTAAAGGAAATTGTAGAAGGGTTGAAACCACCTTCACCCCCTGACATTTTTTTCAGAACTTTCTGAGGGGTCATAATACGGTTCTGAGCTTGAAAACTAATCAATTACCATCATTTTATTACTCAATTGTAAAACTTTCGTATGCCGCATAGTTTCGAAGGTAAAAAATGTTCTCTCACATAATGCTACCAGATATTCCCCGTACGAGTTTAATTGAATTGTGATATAAAACTTAGTTGGCAGTGGAAACGAAGGCAAGTCGAGATTTTGACAGGAAAAAAAAATTATTGTCATTCAAGTTTTTTGGTGACGTTGTCTGAAATTGTTTCAATAAATTCTTCAATTTTGTTACTACCGCGAGTACCATTACCGACCATTTATTATCATTTAATTGTTGTTGTTGTTATTTTAACTGCAATCAAATATGGATTTCTCTTATAATGAGCTAGCAGACCGATTTAATCTTGGTTCTTGGATTCTGTCAAAATCAGAACCCTATTATGACCCCTAATAAAGTTCTGAAAAAAATGTCAGGGTGTGATGGTGGTTTCAACCCTTCTACGATTTCTTTCAAGTTTTTTCGATAACCAAAAGGAAAGTAATCCTCTGAAATACACTATTGCCAAATTTCATCAAATTCTTTTGACTTATTTCTGAACAGCGTACAAAAATATGTTCTTCATGTGAACCCTTCTCACGGACAAACGGTACATTTTGGCACATAAATAAATTGGGTTCAATCAACTCATTTTGACCTCCTCTACACGTGGTAACTCTGTGTCCCAGCGATTTTGGGACACCCTGTATTTGTAAATAAGTGAGATATTCCTTGAGGACATCGGAAATGGGACAGCCTGTACTTACCAAGCTTGAGCTGTTCAATGGGGAATTCCCATTTCTTGTCATATGGTAACAATTCTGCTTGATCGTCTAGCCCAAGTTCTGGATTTATGTTTTCAACGGCTCCCTTTTCGAAGTTTGCCAAGCCGAGGAGTTTCAATTCTCTCTGGAGTCGCTACGGAAATCAACAGAGAATATCAAGATAGTGGTTCCTAAAGTATTATAAGAATATGTGAAAAAATACACAGTTAATATAATATGCACTTATAACTAGCCGATTAAATGTATTGCAACTTTTTTTTTTCTTCAATTGCTATCAGTTCAGATTCAGTCTTTACCTTTTCTTTCCTTACTTTGACGACGATACAACTAACCGTCACTAAGCATATAATAAAAAGGACTACGATGATCACGAAATACCATAAAGATGATCCTCCCTTATCTGAAATAAACGTATTTTATTGTTATTATTTCAGGTACTATTCATATAAAATCTTCTTTTCCTTCATCAAGGTCAGGAATAGATTCAACCTAATTGTTCATTTTGTTCCTGATAATTCAAACTTTCATTACATAATGAGACACATACAGGGTGTCAATTTGAAAACTTCCCACCCTCAATATCTCCCTCCAAGTCGATAATATGGAAAAACGAAAAGACAGGTCGATTTTATTTTAGAGGAGGACATGGTTCTAAAATATTTTCAGCCCCGCGGCGTTGCCGCTTCTAACGAAAAGAAGCAACAACTTTGTTATTTCCAATGGAACACCCTGTATTTTATTGCATTTTTAGATTTTCCTTGGAAAGCTGATTTCATCAATGTATCTCACTTGGGGTCTAGCAGGAATGATTACAGAGATATAGGGTGTTCAAAATCGAGATTTTACAACTTTAGGATTTTTTTGAGTCGAAACTATTCATTATTGGTCAAAACGGCTACCATGTCCCTATCTCAACTTTTGATTTACTATCTACTGACATTTATTTGAAACAAATACAGGGTGATCAAAAGTCTGAATCTTGAACCACCCTGTATTTGTTTCAAATAAATGTCAGTAGATAGTAAATCAAAAGTTGAGATAGGGACATAAGAGCCGTTTTGACCAATAATGAATAGTTTCGACTCAAAAAAATCCTAAAGTTGTAAAATCTCGATTTTGAACACCCTATATCTCTGTAATCATTCCTGCTAGACCCCAAGTGTGATACATTGATGAAATCAACTTTTCAGTGAGAATCTAAAAATGCAATAAAATACAGGGTGTTCCATTTGAAATAACAAAGTTGTTGCTTCTTTTCGTTAGAAGCGGCAACGCTGCGGGGCTGAAAATATTTTAGAACCATGTCCCCCTCGAAAATAAAATCGACCTGTCTTTTCGTTTTTCCATATTATCGACTTGGAGGGAGATATTGAGGGTGGGAAGTTTTCAAATTGACACCCTGTATAATACCTATGTTTAACTCATACTCTGTAGTTCTAGCTTCAGATTCATCATATTCATTTTCCCTGATAACTTATAAAACAGGAAAGTTAGAGGGTGATTAATTGCGCAAAATCAGTGAAAATTTATTCGATTCTTGTTAATGGCAATTCTGTCTAAAAGGGAAGTCCTCATTTTTCTCATAGGCTTGTAATGGGCGAGAGGAATGAAATTGAGTTATTAGCATTCAATCACTCCACTGTGTCGTTAGTGAATGTTGAAGACTTGTCAACATTGTGCTGATTGCTGAGAAATGACAAGACCACGCCTACAAGTCGTGCGCGGTGTTTTCACGTTTACCCGAGCGTTTACTGGTTCAAATGTCCTCTAGAAATGTCCTCTAGTGTGTATTAATATAATTATTATTTACACAGATATAATATAAACAATAAGCTAAAACACATATAAGGCAGAATGTTGAGAAAATTAATTTTTTAATGCTAATTAGGAATATTACTATTACATGATTGAGAGTTTATGGATTATTGAATAACTAATATTTCTGTAGTTCCTAATCGTATTTCAACACAAGGCAGCTGTGCTATGGTCTGCCCTTAGTTACAAAATCGTGACGTCAGCTTTTACTCGCGGAAAATTTCTAGCCATTTGAACATTTCCGTTGCATTATTGATGATTTTGGCGCCTCAAAATCGACCAGAAAATTCTGAAAAAAAAATTACATTGAAGGGTATCTGAGTGATGATTCAATTGAAGAAATAAAACAAAAGTTCACTCGCCTACTGCAATAAATCATTATACTTGAACTTTCTACACGTACCTATTGGGGAAGCACATTTCACCTAAGATTTCATTGTTTGTTCGTTGGTTTGTTTGTATTGAATAGGCTCCGAAACTACTAGACTGATTTGAACAATTCCTCACCATTAGAAGCCGACATTGTCCCTGATGAACATAGGTTATTTTTTACTGCGGTAAAATACTTCATTCCTACAGGAAAACGGGTAATAGGACCAGGGGTAGTAAGAATTATCGTTCCGTACTTATTTATTTCACATAACTTCTAAACGGCTGAAATGATTAGCTAGGAATTTTATGTGGATAATTACGATGGTTTCCTGGCTGATTAATAAATATAATTGGACGCAGTAGGTGGCGCTGGTGTCGGTACGTCAACTTCTAAACGGCTTGATCGATTGGGTTGAAATCCGCTTAGGTAAAACAACGAAAAAATAATAAGTATAGATAGTGAGAAAATGACAATAAGATTGAGTATATAATACCCAGCGAGCACAAAAACATCTCAGAGATGTTAAAAGTACGAGATTTCGAGACATTGAACCTCCACTGCGATGTTCTGTTCACACATGAATAGAACTATTATAGAACAGCCAATGTCCGCCGCAGGCGGCAATTATCGAGATGTCCTTGATATGTCACAAAACTACCTTCTCCCTAGTTCTTTTCAAAGCCTTTTCATGGACACAACAAAACATTTTCAACGCGTCTTGCGGACATTAAATCGCTGTAAAAAAAACATTTTCGAGGTACTTTTCTGAAGCCTTTGTAAAAATGAACTTCTGCATTAGGATTCCATTTCCCTTGAATGAAAAAATGCATTAAAAATAGATTGAACATAAAAATATTTCCTTAATATGAAATTACCTTCTTAATCGGTTTCTGAGTAGTGCTTACTACACACAGACATATAATTGGAAATAGGTTTAACAATTTTTGAAATGTTCTCCACAATGCATAATTTTGCAACTGCGGAGAAGCTGTGTATTGATAAATTCGTACCTACTTTTATATATTGATTAAACTGAGGCACCGAACAACACATCTTGCATCTGATGGTCATTATTACAAACTAAATAAGTCTTCTAACACAATAAACTTCACCAAATTCCTTTCTGTTCGTTAGCAGCGTGATGTAAGCGTGACACGCTGCGAACGCGAATGCCAATTGCGAACAAGAAGAACAAAATCGAAAAAAAATCAGAATTCATCGTATTGTGACGTAAGCATGAGACGTTGTGGTGGGGCAAACAAAGAAAGGGCACAAAAGAACAAAAAACAATACTTTCAATATCCTTCTAAGACCTCTTTGGGAAGTGCATATTACGCCTCAAAAAAACATCCTCATGCCTACATTTCTAAAACATCCCAAAACATCCCAGGTATACCTCTCAGTAGTCAAACAAAGAAATGCCACAGAAGAACAAAAACAATACTTCAATATCCTTCAAAGACCTCTTTGGTCAGTGCATATTACGTCTCAAAATAACATCTTCATGCCAACATTTTCAAAACATCCCAAAACATCCCAGGGATGTTTGTGCTCGCTGGGTAGTAGCTATAGGTGAGCAGAGAATAACCATTTGAAAAAATAACAACAATGCAACAAATGTCTTTTTTTAAAAATGGGTACACCAACTGTGCGAAGCCGGGCAGGACAGATAGTTAGTATTCAATATGATAAAAGGTTTGCCTTTTGACTGAGTTGATCTAAGTAATCAGTCATAATGAATACAATATATCAAAAGCCAAAACTTCAACCTTTTTCATACCAGAGTATCCTAAAACATGGAATTGCAAATCGTTATTGTAATATATAAAGATAGAACTCACTTTTAATTTTGAGATGCCAAGTTTTAGAGACTTTGCCTTGTTCGTTCTGAGCACTGCACTCGTAACTTGCTTCGTCTTGCTCACTGGTTTGGTTGAATCTGAGTACTTGATTTCCATTTTTCAATAAGATTCTTGATCCATCTGGATCAAACTCTGATCCACCCTATAGGAAAAAATGTACGATGAAAGCTCTGAGGAGAGACACAGAGAGATAATTTGAATTTTCAGATGAAATAGGGGAATAGATCAAAAACTTTTGTTCCTTTTAACAAAATTTTGTGATTTTGGATTAGTTGACTAATAGGGAATTAGGTTTTTCGTTCTTTTCATCGAACGAAAATAAATATAAAAGTATTGAATTGTTTGTAAAGAAATGAATGGAAACATACAGTGTGTCCCACTTACCATGCTCACCATGGGTATCTTTTTAACGGTGAGAGATACGAGGTCGGTTAAATGACACCAAATGTGGAGTTTGTCAAGGCCAACTATAATGTGAAAAAATGTTTTGATAAAATCTATTCGTTTTTGTTTTATACACAAAAAACAGATTTTGATCATTTTCATGTCTCCTCCGTAACTTCTTTATTTATGAAAATATTCAGATAGGAATTTCACACTCTCATGGCAGTTTTTCAAAGTGATTTCGAAAACAATATGAAATTTATACCAACTCTTCTAGAATTTGAGATAACAGCACCAACTTTAGTTTTTCAAATGTAGGTCATAGCTGACTATGACATAGTTACAAATAACTTTTTTTTCTCTTACAGATGATATGTCGCAGTAATAGTTTTGTGTTGATAACAACGGAGTTATCGTCATTTATACAAAAGCAAAAAAATATTTGGAAGCCGCCATCTTGAATTTATAAATTTTAACAAGAAAATCATGATCTCTCCGACCTCAAAAACCAAATCACTTACCATTTTTGAATGAAATCGGACCAAATCTTGTCCGCCATCTTGGAGCAGCCATTTTTTTAAATTTCAACAAAAATTCCATAATGTATTGTCACCGGATTTACGAACATCTGCCAAATTTCAAGTTGATTGTACATTATGGAATTTTTGTTGAAATTTAAAAAAATGGCTGCTTCAAGATGGCGGACAAGATTTGGTCCGATTCCATTCAAAAATGGTAAGTGGGGGTTTTTGAGGTCGGAGATCATGATTTTTTTGTTAAAATTTATAAATTCAAGATGGCGGCTTCCAAATATTTTTTTGCTTTTGTATAAATGACGATAACTCCGTTGTTATCAACACAAAACTATTACTGCGACATATCATCTGTAAGAGAAAAAAAAGTTATTTGTAACTAAGTCATAGTGAGCTATGACCTACATTTGAAAAACTAAAGTTGGTGCTGATATCTCAAATTCTAGAAGAGTTGGTATAAATTTCATATTTTTTTCCAGAGAAAACTGCCATGAGAATGTGAAATTCCTATTTGGATATTTTCATAAATAAAGAAGTTACGGAGGAGACATGAAAATGATCAAAATCTGTTTTTTGCCTATAAAACAAAATATTTTTTCACATTATAGTTGGCCTGGACAAACTCCACATTTGGTGTCATTTAACCGACCTCGTATCTCTCACCGTTAAAAAGATACCCATGGTGAGCATGGTAAGTGGGACACACTGTATACAAAGAGAATCTACTTGAGAGATTTCCCAAAAAATACTGTTGTTATTGAAGCTGCCCACACTTTCAACTGGGGTGACTTCCGTACCTTATACCATATTATTTTTGGTTTTGGTATCCCATAAACTTCACAGAACAACTCTGCCTCCTGTGGATAGTTCCTTTCAATAGTTTCTTTCTTATCTGATCCAGTAATTTTCGGTTTTGTAGGATCTGTGTTCAAAAAAATAATTTCTATTCAGAAAATGAAGAGTTAGACTTCCAGAAATTGAAGAATAATCGCAAGAAATATATGAAGCAAAGCTTGGGAGAAATATAGATATGAATATAGATTTCATTTCATAAGGTTTCACGTAGGCCAGAAATAAAATATGGCCTCCTGTGGAGATATACCCCCAATAATAGAACACAATAATATATTGAATCATTTCGTAGTTTTTATCGGAGAAATCTCATTATTATATAGTTATTCGTTTCTATAATTCTGACGCATGGTTTTGTTCCTGTATAATATGCAGATATCTCTAGGTATTCATTTACCAATTCTGCAGAATTCATTCGTTGAAATAGTTGGATATACATTCACATAGTTAACATGATATATCGGATAACTAGTTGATTGAAAGTTGTTCAGTTTGAAATTCATATGGAATTTTGTGAAAATCTGACATTTATTCTGACGATTTCACAAGGAGATGCATTGGAGTTTTGTATAATGTAGCGTAACATTGACGATGAATAAACTTATACTATGAAATTTCTCCACTAATTCTCAACAGTACTAGATTGTTTTTAGAAGTACTCATACCTATCAGCATTTATAAACAAACTTATATAACTCCACAACACTGTGAAAAAAGGTCAGTGATATTGATCTATAGGGACCCCTTGTAGTGAGTGCAAAAGTGCATTTTTGTGAGGACATGGAGCAATGCCTGTTGTCGAATAATACAAAAATATCAGGTGTGTAAAGATCACATTCTGTCTGAAAATGTTCTTACACTTACATTCCATGAAAAATCTCATTGTTTTCTTTCTGAAGGACGATCTACCATTACTGGATTTCACTTCTTCTACTCTACAGCTGTAATTTCCAGTATCCTCATACTTAACCTCTTCAATTTCTAAGTACGATATGTACGAGTAGTCGGTCATGCTTTGTGTGATTTTAAATCCTGAAATTTCAAAATTTGATTTCAGGTCATCATCAGTATGTGCGAAAGCTTTGAGAGAGAATGATCCCAGATATATCATGAACATGAAAAAAATGGATACATATAAACGCCATGTATGATGAACATGAATCAACCAGACAACTGACAAAATAGCTATTCATACACACAAGGTAAATTCGTCAACATCCTTTGCATTGCTATCAAACTATTCTTGTTTTGCTTACATTTCGCTGACACAAACTACATAATTTTTTATACAAATCCGAGTAACTGATCTCATTTTGATAGGACAGCGCTGCTGAATAGACGATTGATTGGACATGGCACCGGAAGGATCACCAAGCAGTCTCAACGAAATGCACAATCAATATCAGATGTCAACAGAGGTCAGTGGTGTTCACATTAGGTTTGTTTTTACGTTTCATCACCAAGTGTGAACGTCATAAACGAGAGATTTATTCAAGTCATTTATCAGGTCATACGACGTCAACTACTGACGTCCATTGGTTATTCAACTGAGGCAGCAATCTATTGAAAAATGTGGTGAAACCTTAGCCGTGGCACTTGATATCTCCAAGGCATTCGATCGGGTCTGGCACCACGGACTCCTCGCCAAGCTTCCATCTTATAGCTTGCCTCCCCAGCTATGTTCTTTGCTAGCTAGTTTTCTCTCAAACAGGTCTCTCCATGTATTGGGCGACGGAGTTTGATCTAACTCTCTTATCATAAATGCCCACATTTACAATAAATATAACAATCAGAAACATAAAAGATTCTATTTATATTTTAGACATCCTATGAAAGTTACCATATAGATGTCCATGACAGATACCATATGGATAACGGATACCATATAGATGTCTATGACCGATGCCATATAGATGTCCATGACGGATACCATATACATATATGTCCATGAGGGATCCCTAACAACACCAGTACATCCTAGGGACTTCCCATGGACGTCCCTGATTTTATACTAGGGCATCCCAGGGATGTCCTTTGGCGGGACAACGTACATACTAGGGATGTCCCAGGGACATCCGCTGGCCGCTAAAAAAGGCATCCAAGGGATGTCCTTCTGGTACGTCCTTGGGATGTACCAAGTACGATGAAAGGATATCCCTAGGACGTCCCAAGGATATCCCAGGGACATCCTTTCGACAAAAGAAAAAAGTTGCAGGTCGAGTAGGGATTGAACCCGGGACCTTTGGCTTATCATGCACGCACCTTGCTCCATTGGCTATCATGCCTCCTGAAGATTCATGTACTGAACAGATTTATAAACAGGACTTAACTACAGAAACCTTAATAAATACAACATTATTAGGAATTGGGTATAATTATTATCATTCTTGGGTGTTTAAAAATGAGGGACATTACGCATGTACGATTTCTGTCTGCGAAAAATGGTAATTTCTTAAGAAGTTCTGAGACTTAATTCTTTATTTTCATTACAATCATTTTACAGGAGAGAAACGAACATTTTCAAAAAAATTCAACTCAATAGTTTGATGAAATTCATTGACTCTGATGTGAATGGATATCAGATACTCCAGGGACACCAATAGAATAACCTAGGGATGTACCGGGCGGGATGTCCACTGGACAACCACTGCAGGACATCCTCTGGATGTCCCAATCATGTCCTTGTACCGCGGGACAAAAAAGGGACGTACCTAGGACATCCCTGTGTTGTTAGGGATATCATGATTATATGGATAGCTAAGAAGTTGGAATCGCGATATCCTATGGATGTCCATACGTCATCCAGTAAACACAAACTGGATGTCCTATGGATGTCCATACGTCATCCAGTGAACACAAACTGGATGTCCTATGGATGTCCGAGATGTCCAGAGGAGGATGTCCATAAGACGTCCATTGGATGGAGTTGTGTTATTAGGGTAACTACTAGGAAGCTCAGCTCAAAAGAGGAAGATGAATGCAGGTTCTATGTGTAGAAGAGGGGAGCATATATCGGCATACTTGAAGAATTTGTCACCATACAGAACCCAAGCGTAAGAAACCCATAGTAGCACAGATATAGTATAGAGGCGACGAAGCCATCTCATAGCTGGAATCACCTCATGTTATGAAAATTTTGAGGTATACAGATCTAGAAAAATTGCTATAGCAAAAGGAGGGAACGCATTTGATTATTTAGGTCGCAGTGTATTCACCCCTTTTGCATACAATACAATACAGTCATAGTTCTTATGGAAATACCTTGTTTAGCTACTTTTCGACCCTCAGAATTGCTACTTACTGTCATCTGCTTTCAGTGGTGAGCCATTCAATAACCATACTATATTCTTGTATTTTTGTTTAGATGCACCGCATTTCACTTTCACTGGGTGTCCTATAGCAAAAGACGCATATCTTCCACTTTCGTCAAATACGACTGATTCATCGAATCCTGTCATGCTGAAACCATTTTCAAAATCTGCAAACAAAAACAAAGTGACAACGAATATCTGGAATATTGCATACATGTTTTGCAGTGAATCAAAAATATCCCGGATCTTTCTGAACTCTGAACCAAATGTTTCTGCAATATTTATGAAACAAAACTGTGCTGTATGGGATATGTATCTAATATCAGAACTTCAAGACATTAGTTCCAACTAAAATGTATAAGCCTGTTCGTTTGTGCTGCCTCTACCTGCTAAACTCGATTTTTTTCTATGACATTCTCTGTTTACGTCATGTCCTAAACAGAGATAACCATGTAAAAAAAGCCACTTTAGTGAGTTCAGCAATACAAACGAACTAGCCAATTGTTAATATTATAGTCGATTATTACCTGATACAATATACTGGATTGTGCTTTCATCAGAACCAATGAAATTTTTAGCGATGCATTTCAACAAACCCACTGGCTCTGAAGTATTGAGCTCGACTTGCGATACGAACACCACATCCCATTCCTCGATAATGGTACTCTCAATCTAGGGAGAAGAATTGGAAATCAAAGAAATCAAAGAGGTAGGTACAATATGGTTCTCCTCATTTCCCAACAAACTCAGGGAAATTAACATGTATTCAAGATAAGAGTTAATTATTATAGAAGGGAAAAATTATTAGATTTTGGGTCAAGGTTGTGACAAAAAACCGAGAGCTAAAATTTCATATTTATCCCGTGTTAATACACAATTTTTTTCTGTGACAGAAAAAACGACGGTTCAATATTGAGAAGATATTACTATATAATGAGATAAACAAAAAATCGATGTGACATTTGATCATTAATAGAAACCCTATAGTATAGTTCATAATGGGAGAGGGTACCTACTTGTTGTAAGATGCAATCGTCCCTTAAGCAAGACTTGTAACCCCACTGGAAAATTGGTGCTGGGTGTGCAGAAGCTGTACAGTTCACTTTTCCAGGTTTTCCAAGCATGTGAAAAGGTTCTGTTTCCATTGTGACACTTGGTTTATCTGAAAATTGACAATTCCCCAGTCGAATCTGGATTAGCTTGTGAAACTTTTACTGCATGAATACTGCATCATCAGAATTTTATCAATTTCTTTGCAAAAATTAATTCAATGATAATTCGTTATACCGGGTGTCAACGAATCTATTAGACAAATCATAATTTCTAGACCATTAGGTGTATCAAAATGAGATGTGGTATATGTAAATGGTATGTGGAGAAGACAGTTCTCACATATTTTTCACTTTCCGGTCACTTCCGGTTTCACCGGAAATGGATCCGGTTCTAAATTTTTACATGGAACACCCTGTGTATTGTAACATTTTTCGATTTCTGAGAAAATTCTAGATCAGAATGTGACATTTTTGGAAGTTTTTATGCCTACTTATTTTTTTCGGAGTCACTTTTGAAATTACATCTAGGTGGCCATGATCGGAAGTAAACTAATCTACCTAGATGTAATTTCAAAAGTGACTCCGAAAAAATTAAGTAGGCATGAAAACTTTGGAAAATGTCACATTCTGATCTAGAATTGTCTCAGAAATCAAAAAATGTTACAATATACAGGGTGTTCCATTTAAAAATTCAGAACCGGAGCCATTTCCAGTGAAACCAGAAGTGACCGGAAAGTGAAAACTATGTGAAAACTCTCCTCTTCACATACCATTTGCCTTTGCCAAATCTCATCTTGATAGACCTAATGGTCTAGAAGTTATGACTTGTCTAATAGATTCGTTGACACCCGGTATAGATATTAGTGAGGGATGCTGGGCTGTGTGCACGTGTATATATACCAAAAAAGGGAAGTGTTGTATTTCGTGATGCCTATGGTGCAAGATAATGTATTCAAATTTATATTCGTAGCAGAGCGCTTTCGACTGTTACGTCATCATCAGTGCATACTCGCCAGGTTAACAGGGAAATTTGTACATAAAAATATCTCTGATCCAGTTTAAAGCTAACGAAATTATGGTAAAATACGGTACAAACATATTAGAATTTGTTTCCCAAAAGGGGGTAAAATACAGATTACATTTTGTTACGCAGCCATTGTCGCTGCGACATGTCGTGTTGAAGTGAACTTGATGAACTCATCTCAACTTAACAGTCGAAAGCGCTCATTCTTTGTGATCTTACCTGTTACGTTCAAGAAAAAGTCCAGAGTATTTTTATCATACGAATTCGTTCCAGTTAGTGTATAGTGTCCCAGGTCGGTAATGTTGATATAGTTGATAGTGAGTGTAAGGTAATTGTGCTTAAATTCAATGTCATATTTTCCTCCTGACTTCTTATTGGATATTGTCATATTCCGATTATTCGACCTGAAACACAAAAACTGAATCATTCATTCCAGACATGCTCGTCCACACAGGGTGTCCTAGAATAACATTTGTATACTCTGGGAAGTAATTGTGTTTATGAAATTTGAGTAAAAATGTTCTTATCAACATGTTTGTGTCGAAAGTTCTTCCTGAGGGCGCTGCAATAATTCTTTGAGCATAAGTCCTCAAAATGTAGTTTTTAATTATCTTTGTAACTATTGTTATAAGAATCACGAGTTTCGGTACCTACCTATCATCATCGAGCTCATGAAATACCTGGAACATTCAGGTATTATCAACGATGGTCAATATGGCTTCCGTCATCAGAGATCAACTGATGACCTGCTCGCCCTCGTCTCACATATATGGTAGGAATCTATTGAAAAATATGGCGAAACCTTAGCCGTGGCACTTGGTATATCCAAGGCATTCGATCGAGTCTGGTACCACGGACTCCTCGACATGCTTCCATCTTATGACTTGCCTCCCCAGCTATGTTCTTTGCTAGCTAGCTTTCTCTCAAACAGGTCTCTCCATGTGACCACTACATGCGGAGTTTTATCTAACTCTCTTATCATGAATGCTGGTGTTCCGCAAGGATCAATTCTAGCACCAACACTATTTCTACTTCATATCAACGATTTGTTGAAAGCAACTTCATGTCCAGTACACAGCTTCGCGGATGCTAGTACCCTCCATACCGCCTCCTCTTCCAGGGCTTCAATACCAGCCAGGCAAATCAGAAACGAACAAGGGAGAAATGTTGACAACATGAATATGGACTTGGCATCAACAATTCTCGAATGGGGATCCAATAACTTGGTAGATATCAATGCAAACAAAACACAAGCATGTCATTTCTCTAGAAAAGCCGATCTCACTGTGCCCAACATGAGCCTGTCAGGAGTAACTATACCTTGGGAGACATCCATTTCGATGCTTGGTATTACTATGAGCAAGAACCTTTGTTGGGAAAATCACGTGAGATCAATTGCTGAAAGTGCATCCCAAAAACTTGGTTATCTGTTTCGAGCCAGGAGCTATTTCATTTCCAGGTAGCTGCTTATGATCTATGAGGCACAGATCCGACCTGTCCTGGAATACTGTTTCCATATTTGGAGTGCAGCACCCAAACATACCCTGAAACTGTTGGATTCTGTCCAAAGAAAGGCAATTCGTCTCGTGGGTGATGCCTCGCTCGCAAACTCACTTTTCTAGAACACCGTAGAAAAGTTGGCAATCTGGCTCTACGTTATAGATATTTTCATGGACGATGCTCTTCTGAAATATCAACAATTGTTACTCCCTTGGCAGTCTCCGCGAGATTAACACGTCGAGTTGAGGCTTCGCATCCCTTCGTGGTTACTTTGGAGACCTGCAGAACATCTCTTTCCAGACTCGTTCATCCAACGAACAGCAAGGCTCTGGAACACATTGCCAAGGGAGGTGTTTCCCGAGGCATATAACCTCCAGAAATTCAAGAAGAACACCAGTTCCTACCTTATTTTCCTTGGTTCTCACGATGTTCTTTGAACATCACAGGATAACCCTTTTCGTAGGAACTGAACCAGAAAAAAACCTAGGGGTATAATTCGATCTCACAAATCGTTTCGTATTACGGAAAACCTGATTCTAATGCAATTAAAAGGCCACCAGTTCCCTTGTTTCACGATTGATCTTATTTCTGGTACCAGAATATGATTCTTCAAACACTATTACATGAAAAAGGTACACTTGTGAGAATGCCGTAAAACGAACTGTGAATAAGTTTGTGTAATTTCGCTAATTCCCAGTGCTAATATTTTGTGAAAAAATCAACATTACGTTCAAATCTGATGAAACAAAAATGCAAAATTTCGAGCATCAAGCTTTACTTTTTTTATCAAAAGAACAAGCGCCCAAAATCATTGCGAATTTTTTCGGACATCAAAATGAAATATTACACTTTTCTCGAAGACGGTTCAATATACAGCAGTCTTCTAACAAGAGTATCTTCTTCTCGTAAGGGTGATTGAATAATCCTATTCTAGGATGATGAAAATGAGATGAATAGTGAAAACGAAATTGGAAAATTTTTATACACTGTATAAGAAATCCTTTTGAGTGACTGTGAATTTGGTAGTGAGTTAATCTACTGAGTGAACTTTTTGAGTGAATTTTCAATAAAAATTGGGTATTTTCACAATTTCTCCTGAAAAAGACAATGTCTATGACAATTATGATTGATTCAAAGGAAAAAAAATTGAGATGGAACAAACCAGGAAACCATATTAGAGTGGCTTCTACTCAATCGAATAGATGAAACATGTGAGAATCACTCATTTCACTCAATCATAGTATTTCTAATCAGAAATGAGTAAATGGAATCTTCATTGATTTCATTTTTTCCAAATTAGGTATATTGGATTCAAATTGAAGTAGTGTTGTCAAAATTGATGATCTGATGATTCAGTTTTGATCATTCATGAGATCTATAAAACATTTGATGAAAACATTATTCAAGAATTTGTCTCTCTTTAAGTAATATACCCACAACAAATCTGTTCTGATGGATACATTTTTGAATCAGCTGTTGATATGCATTTTTTGTCTGCAGATTGATGTCGTGAGTTACATCACCAATTCCACGGTATTCCTTAAGAAATAGGAATCTCGACAGAAGACCAGGAGAAGCCGAGTCAGCGTTCTCATGATTTCTATGCTTTCTTGCAATTTTGCATTTTCACATGTTTATTAGAATTAGTTTTATATTCAGTCTTGACTTTGAATCCATGCTGTAAACATCTCTCTGCTTTGTGACAAATAGTTGAATAAAAAATATTTTTTTATTCGAAATCCTGAACGGACTTATAAAATTGGCGCAGTCGGTAGGATTGTTGCAAAGAATCCAGTGCGGATAACTTTTCTATTCCAATAGTTAAGCAACAATTCGAAAATCGGATCTCGTTCGGTTCGGTGAAATCGCAGTGAAACTGAAAACAGAAGAAAATTCCGAAGGCGTATCCAGGCGGACAAGCTAGTCGGACGAAAAAGAAGCATCTGCAAGAATAGCAGCACTTCAAGACAAATGAACAGAGAGATCGTACTGTAAGTGAATTTTTCTTTTCATGTCAGACTCCTCTAGAACTTCTCCATCCTTAAGTGAAAGTGAAGACAATCTAGAGCCCAGTATACAATTACTAACAGAAAATCTCAGTAGTATTTCAATCATAGAAGAAAAAACTCCTGTTGATATTTCTTCATCGAATACAATTAACACAGAAACAATGTCAATTCCAACATTTTCCAAAGTTCATGCCGAAACCATCCCCGATTTTGACGGTGATGTAAACGAACTAAATTTTTTCCTGGAAAGTGTCGATAGCATAGTCAAACATTTTTACGATACTCAGAATGTGAATAATTTCCAAAATGTGATTATTTTCCGAACAATCATAAGCAAACTTAAAGGTTCTGCTAGAGAAGTCGTTAATATTACCTGTGCAAGTAATGTACAACAAATTAAGGATGAATTGATCCGAAATTTTAGCGACCCAAGAAATGAAACCTGTTTATCTCTTGATTTGAATAATCTCAGACAAAATCAAAACGAGTCTCCCTATCAATTTCATGATAGAGTGAGAAAAATTTTGAATACAATTTCTAACTATCTATCAATCCATGAAAATGATGTAAATATTCGTAAATTCAAACAAAATATGTACAACCAACAGGCTCTCGAGGTATTTTTAGCCGGACTGAGAAATCCTTTCGGAATAATGGTCCGTACCAAAGAACCAAAAACTATGCTAGATGCCATAAATTTCATTCGCAAAGAAGAAAATATTAGATACTTGCAAAACGCCGGTTCTCATAATAGTTCGAATCAGAGTTCGAATCAAAATTCAAATTTTTCGCAGAACAAGAAACATCCAAACAAATTTCCTAACACAAATTCTAACACATTTGTAAACACAAACCAATTTCGACAACAGCCATTCAGGCAACAAAATTATCAAAATTTTGCTCAAGCAGGTCCATCAAATGCACCAAACTTTAATCAAAGACAGCAATTTCCATCAGCACCAATAAATGTTCAATCTAGGCAAAATCCCAATCAGAAATATTTCTCTAATGAACAAGTTTTTGGAAAACCGAAAAATGTTTGGAAACCAAATCCTAATAACCATCAAAATTCGAATCAATACAAAGCGACTCCAATGTCCACTACTACCAAACAATTCACTTCAAATACCAGACAGTCATATGCTCCTATGGAAATGAATAACACTGAACAATTCGATATACCCAACGAGTATAATACGGAGTGTTCGCAAGAGGTCGAATCCGAGTACGCTGAGTATTCTGACGAATATACAGAATATGCAGAATACGATGAACCTCAGGATTTTCAGTCGACAAACCCTCACCAAAAAGAGACGTAATCGAGTTCAACACTTCCTTTGATAAGAGACAATTACCATATATTACTATCAATAATCCACCACTTAAACTTTTGATCGATACAGGAGCAACCAAATCATTTTTAGACCCACAAATTGTTAGTACGTATTTTTCAAAATTCAAAAATTATGACCCCTTTGTTGTATCAACATCTTTCGCTTCCTCGAAACATGATACATCAATAACAATAAAAGCTTTCAATGAATTTAACGAAAACATAAATCTCAAATTTTATTCCTACAAATTTCATAATGTCTTCGACGGACTTCTGGGAATCGACTTGATACAAGCTTTGAATGCACAGTTAGATTTTTCTAACATGAAATTCATAACTCCGAACGCATGCATCGCGATTCATTATTTCAATGCCAACCCAAAGGTTTTCGTAGAAAAATATTTGCCCGGACATACCGTAAACAAAATTAAAGTCCCAGTGACAACTGAGTCAGGCGATATCATAGTTCCGAGACAAGTAATTCAAAACTGCCTCATACCAGAGACCTTATCTGTTTCTGTGAAAGGCTGGGCTAACATAGAAATCTACAATAATTCCGCTG